AAAAATGATGGGAACAAAAGTAACCCCTGTAGCCTCCCGCTCTTAGTGTGGCCTGGGACTAAAGCTTTCCCCCAGGGCAATGCGAGAGGAAGTGACTTCTACATGTCCTTTGTCCTTCCAGCTCACTGGGAACATGACCTCTAGCAAGACCTTGGGAGCGAAGGGTGGAGGCAGCGTGCCTGTCAGCCTGGATCCCTTCATGGCGAAGTGGAAGAGAGACACCCTAGCCGCCCTGTCGCTTAATGCAAGTGCTTCATTAGCACATGCTCCACTGGTGTCAGTAGATCCTGCAGTTAAATGTTTTATGTGTGCCTCAGTTTCCTCATCTGTAATATGGAGACAAAATTCTTACTTTACAGGGTTTTTGAATAAGTAATATAAAATAATGATTGATGACCACCCATTGTAGTGCCTCACATGTAACAGATGCTTAAGAAATCTTGTTCTTTGAGGGCTGTTGTGATATTTCAAGGAAATAATCATTTTGAAAAGAGATAGTGATATAGAAAAGCTAGTTGAAAGATGAGAGAAGCAGCCCCTCTATCCCTCTCATTCTAAGACACTCCAACCATTTGTGCAACTGGTCACTTGTCCAGTGTAATGGAAGCAGGCTGATGTAGATATACTGGAATCCATAATAATGGAGAATGACATTCCTTTAATTTTAACACCCTGCACAGTGTCTCCCCCAACCCCTCAGCCAACCGACGACCTAGGAAACCAGTGGACAGGAACTTGTCCCTGGAACTGATGTTTAAACAAAGCGGCAGACTGTAGGGGGAGGCTGTATGAGGAGGTGCTTTCCCATTGTGGGTGTTTAAACAAGACGGCCACAGGGGTGAGTTATGTAGGTGATCTTTACAATCCCTTCCAGCTCCAAGTTCTGTGACCCTTAAGAAAATAAAGAGAATTTTACTTTCATCTTCTCTTGACTCCTGTGCCTCCCCAAGTCTATTACCTGAGGAAGCACAAATTCCACCAAAAGCACAAAATCAGGAGAAAGTGATGAAACCACAGGTGTCTGGTCTCTGAAAAATTCATAGCCTGTTGTTAGGGAAGAAAAGCAGGCCATGTTAATATGTAAGTGACGTATACTTTTAGTAATACTCTCTTTTTTTGTCTTTTGGTTGGAGTGTGTAAGTCCATCATCTTTGTACAGATTCGTATGGATTTTTCTTTCTCTTTTAAATGGAGCATCTTTTCTGCAAACATCAGACAACATTAAAGAATAAGCTGTGGAATCAGATAGATTTGAATTTGAACGTTGGGTGAGTTAGTATGTGTATATATATATATATATATATATATATATATATACACACATACACACACATATATATATTATTGAGTTCAGAGAGGAAGGGAAAGGGAGAGAGAGAGATAGAAACATCAATGATGAGAGAGAATTATTGATTGGCTGCCTCCTGCATGCCCCACACTGGGGATGGATCCTGCAACTCAGGCCTGAGCTCTGACTGGAAATCGAACCCTGACTTCCTGGTTCATAGGTCGAGGATCAACACCCCTGCTGGGCTAGTTACTATTTTGATGATGTTTCCTTATTATAAAGTTGGGTTTAGTATGTATCTGATAAGGTTGTCTTGAGAATATCAGAATCATTCATGCAAAGGGGGTGGCGTGTAATAAATGCTCAAATCCGCCTGGCTCCTCCCCTCCCTCCCACTAAGCTGCAGAAGGCGGTGTGTGGGGCTGCACCCCTGCTGGAGGCCAGGAACATCCACCTGTGACTCCCGCAGGGCGCTAAGATGGGTGAATGAGCAGCAGCAGGGCTTCCTTCTGCCAAAAAGGAAAGACTGCCGATCCTGAAAAAGCCTATGTTAGGCCTGCAGAGTATGGGACATCACGAGGAGATGGAGGCTCTGAGGAAGCTATTTTTAAGTGGCTTCCTGCCGAGAGACGGGCTTTCAGGGCAGGGTTAGTTCAGCCCATTGCAGCTTTCCACCTGAGCCCGTGCCTCCTGGCACGCATCCCCATCTGCTGGTACAAAACGAAAGACTCCGGCCTCAGAGGCACAGCTGGCATCGCTGGCCTTTTCTTTAGAGCAGCATGCAGAGGCACAGGCCAGCACTGAGATCTGGGGGAGGGAGAGGAAGAGGAAGCTTCTGGAACTGTAGAGAAATGCAGCTTCCTACTGAAAAGGAGGATGTTATTTTTAGTCTCAGCATGAGTTGCTTCTTTGTTCCTCCTGAGGTCAGCTTCTCTTTAAAGTGACCTTCTGGTGGGGGAACTGCCAGGTTGGAGACTTGCTAACAATCGAGGCTGCACCCAGGGCTTAAACTATCAGTCATTACTTCATTTGCTCATGAGCTGCCATGTGGGTAGGGCTCGGGCTGGGCTGAGCAGCCTGGCTGGGCTAGGGCAAGGTCAGCTGAGGTAGCTTGAAGGCTAGGCAGGTGTGACTCAATGTCTGGAGGCTGGAATCATCTTACTTCTTCCCTGCCTCACACATCTGCTGGTTGCATTTGGCATCGACTGTGACCTCAGTGAAGCTGTTGGCTGACACCGCCACGTGGCCACAAGGCTCCCTCCGAGCATGGTAACTAGGTTCCAGGAGGGAGTGACTCAGGGGGACGAGGCAGCAGTTGCCTTGCATTTTCCGACCTGGGCTTGGAAATCGCTTCTATTCTTGTCCCAGGTCCTCCCAGGTTCACGGAGAAAGGGTGGGCCCCCTGTGGCAGCGTCGGCGGGAGGAGTGTCCATGTGGTCCTGTGGAACAGGGGCCTCGTGGTGGCCCGAGGGGAAAGGACCGCCTGGCACAGAGGAACCGTGGAGGAGTGGAGGCATGGGTTTGTTGGAGAATTAAAATCAGATCTATTTCTTTTTTTTTCTAATTTAAAGACACAACTCTCAAAAACTGGAATAATTAATTGGAATGTATGGAGAAATGGCAGTGTAATAGAAAATAGAAGAATTAAAAAAAAATTCATTCATTTGGGACACACTGTAAAATCAACTATTTTACACCATTGAATAGTCTTGCTGAGAAAGGCCTTCTCTGTTTCAAGGTTATTTGTCCATAATTTCTAGTATTTCTATGGTTTAATTTCTGATAGACTTGGAAATTGTTTGGATGAAAGGAAGAACACAGGAGGAGTTCAGATAGATTTTTTCCCCCCCAAGCAATTTATGAGTTGGAACGTCCATTTACTGATTAATCATCTTTTCCTCATTGATTTGTACTTTTACTTTATCATATACTAAACTCCTATATATTTTGGGGTCTACTTTTGGACTCAATTATTTTAATCCACTTTCTAATCCTACCAAGGTAATTCTGCAACCCATGAGCTCTGGAGCTCAGCAGACCTGGGTGTAAACTCAGAAGCAGCTCCACCATTACCTCCTCCAACTCTTGAAGCCTCAGTTTCCTTGTCTGCAAATTGAGGGTCACTGTGCATACCTCACTGGGGTGCTTTCACAAACAATGACTTCGCATGCTGTGCACAACTGGTCAGCACTAGCCCCGAGTGCTCTACCCCGTGGGAAGGAGGGGCAAAAAGAGTGCCGGGCAGAGGGAAGCCCTAAGTTGGGACGCAGACCCACATAGCACCTTAGCCACCTTGAGGGAGCTCTGGAGGTCAAACAGCCCTTCAACGGTGTCCTGGGTGGGATGGGCTTTCACCCAGCACGCCTGTCAGTGTTACATGGAGCTGCCATGGAACTGGGTGTGACCTGCGTGACCTCTCCACAGCCAAGGCCGTCTGCCAAGGGTGCTCCCAACGGCTGGGCCCACAAGTCCCCCATGAAAGAGGGATCTCTGTGGCACATTCCCGTGTCCACCACAGCACTTCGTGCACTTCTCATTTCTCCGCTTCCTCATTTCCAGTTCTTTGAGTGAAGAGCAGTTCCACAGAGCGCCCCTGCAAGGTTCCTTGTCCAAGGCCCTCAACTGGATGCTGCAATTCCAATCCTCTGTGCACCACGAGGGCAGGAGAACACCCTGGGGCGTGAGGAGGAGACTGGTGAATGAGATGGGGAAGGGGAGGCGATACAAATGGAACAATCCAAGCAAGGACTTTACAAACCCAAAGCTTTCATTGCCAGTTAGCACAATCTTCTTTTGAGAATTTTGTTTATTTCAAGATCAAAATATTGACTGGCCAGGGCAGTGGTCAGCAAACTCATTAGTCAACAGAGCGGTAAACAGCGGCTCGTGAGCCCCATGTGGTTCGGGAGCTGCAGTTTGCCGACCACTGGTCCAGGGGAATGGGAATGTGGAAGCCAGGCTGTGGAATGGTCCTGTGGCGACAAGAACAGTACCCGTCTCGACCCAATAAGACAAGGCCATCCATTTGCTTTTCCTTTTATTATAAAAGTAAAATAAAAAATAGCATTTATAAATCCAACATTCTTTTCTTTTAAAGTATTTGATCTAAAAACATATTTACAATAGCAAAATGCAGAAAAAGGGGGAAAATACCATTTTCAGCACTGATTGTAACCATGTTTAAATATCGACACGTACACATTCTTTTTCAAATCACAGAGATAAACCACATTAGAAAAAGCAGGAAGCATTTTTTTTTTTAATTATACACTGACCCTCATTTCAAAATACCCCATTGAAAATATCCTGGATAAAATATTAAGAATTCTCTTAATCCTTAATCTGAACGCATGACTGTGCTGTGGGCCGCCAGAGAGTACACCGGGTGGGGACCGTTAGCCTTTCAGTGACAGTGGGCGTGCAGCAGAGGGGCAGCGGGGATGACAGGAAAGCAACTGGTGAGGCCCACGGGCGCGCCCCCTCCCAGAGGCACCAGCCCCGCCCAAGGCTGGGGCTGTAGCTGCTCTCTGCCAGGGAGCCGCACCGAAGCTCAAGAACCAAAAGAGGCAGCCAGCTTCCTATCGGAGGCCTGGGGTTCAGTCCAGAGCCATCCAGGCCGGCCCGTGTCCCTGGGTGCACTGTCTCTTCCTTTTTCCGGCCAATCCAAGGAACTGCAGGGCTTCGCTGGACAGGGTGTGGAAACCGCCGCGGGCTAAATCTTGCCTTCGATGGGTCCTTCCTGCCCGTAGTCGTGGGGCATCTTGTGCAGCGCGAGTAGCGGGCTGCCGCCGGTCAGAGAGTCTGTGAAGCTGAGTTTGCGGAAGGACGTCTCCACGCCGCTGTCACAGATGCTGTCGTCTCCCAGCTCGTCTGAAGGGGAACAGCAGGGAGTCACTAGGGGGCAGAACCAGGCCAGTCTTCCCTGTCAGACCTTTCCTTCCCTCCCAGCTCAGAGTTTCAACCGAAAAGGCACTTGGGCGGTTTTTGCCCATTAGCTTCTACAGGTCACTACATTCCACCCACACTGACGGCTTGCCACAGCCATTCACGGTGGGCAGAGGGGCCAACAGCACACAGAGTAATAGAGACACTGTGAAGATACCCAAACTGTGAAGATGCCAAAACTAGCCAAAGATGTTTTCACGTCTCTCTTACAGCCTCGTCCCCTGTTTATCGGAATCCTTCCTGGATTCTCTTGACTCAACCGGTCCCTTTCTTTCTTAGAAACCAGCTGTATTTTTCCAACCACCATCTTACCTATTTTATAGCTGAAGTAGGGGAAACTGCTGAAACTAAGCAAAATAAATTGGTGAAAGCAGCAGGAACTAAAAATAGGAGTACCTTTCTGGACCTCATACGCTATTCAGCTCTATACACTGGCTCAAAGAAACTTTGGTAGCAAAAAATAAAGTGATTTTGATGAAAATGAGTCCATACTGGACAATTAGGTCAGAATCTCCTTGCTGAGAAGTGTCTTTATGGATCTGAATGAACAATGTGAATTATTTCCTATATAGAGAGAGTGATCAAAGGAACAGAAATCTAATATACCTGAATCAAAATGCTATTTTACATATTAAATTCCAATATTAAAATGAAGACTCTAATGCAGTGACATGGCTATTGTCTTGTTACTGATCGCCTTACCCAGTCATTCAATCTTTATTGGGTTTCTCTTATACGTTGGGAACTGTGAAGTATTTTAATAATAACTACAAATCAAGGGCTTCATGCTTTTTCACATCTAGTACCCACTCCTTTGTGTGGAAGGAACATCAGGTTTTAAGACAGCAGATGTGGGCTGTTTTCCTGGTGGTTACACTATTCCCATCCCGACCCCCCTGGAAGGGCCCCCTGACAAGGTGACACTGGTGCCAAAACTGAGTGGCCAAAAGGAGCAAGGCAGCGGAGGCTCTTTGCAGAAAAGGGGAAGAGCAGGTCACCGGTCCAGAGACCGGTGGGCTAGTGAGCCAGGGGGGCGGAAGGACAGCGGAGCAGCAGGCAGAGGGGTGGGAGGGCAGAGGACAGCCACGGGTAAAACGGGGATCGGATAGAGAAGGGACGTGCCTGTACTGCTCAAAGCCTCCAGCAGTGCTAAGCACACAGGATGTGCACAGGGAAGATCTGTTGAGTGGATGAATGAATTGGAGAGTATAAACAGGATTACCACAATCTCACTAAGGTTTTAAAAATATGTTTCTATTGACTTTAGAGAGGAAGGGAGAGGGAGAGAGAAAAACACGGATGTGAGAGAGAAACAGTGATCAGCTGCCTCCTGCGTGACCCCTGACGGGGAATCCAACCAGTGACCTTTTGGTCCGTGGGACGATGCTCAATCAACTGAGCCACACCGGCCAGGGCTCTCACTGATTTTTAAAACTCCCTGTTGTGTGAAGAATGGACTGAAGGGAACCAGAAACTGATCAGGAGCTGCTGCAGGAATGGAGACCACCAGTGACAGGGGACTGGACGAGGGAGGTGGCTGCAGAGAGGAAAAAACGAGAGGGCTGGCTGAATGGTGGTTTGGACCAGGGCGCGTTCGCAGGAATGCTTAGGCTTTTGTCTGGGACTCATGGAGCGTGGCAGTGCTTCTGCCCTGACATGACCAATGCTCCGTTCAACTGGGAACAAGCCTCCTGTAAGTGAGGGCAAGTAAGGAGGACCCAGGGCTGGGCTCTGGAGGGCTGTTTTCAGAGGCGTGGGAGGAGGCACGGAGGTGTGCGCTGTGGGAAAGCCAGGAGGGGAGCCTGTGAAGCAGTGGGATGGCCCATGGCATGTGTGCTGAGAGCAGCGGAGAAGACGGGAAGGACGGTGAGCAGGTGCAGATGCTGGGCATCGGGAGGCGAGCAGACCTGGTGGAGGGGGGATGGGTCCGACGGCCGGGTCAAGGGGAGAAGAGGAGGCAGAAAGAACACCCCTGGAGGTTCTCCGGAGCAGCTCTGCTGTGTGGAGAGCAGAGGGATTGCAGATAAAGGGGAAGTGGGATACAAGGAGTGCTTTTGTTTGTTTTATTTGGAAAAATGAGGGAGACCACAGCATGCCTGCTAGGTGAGCCAGCGCGAGGGAGAAGCCAGGAGTGCAGGGGAAGGGATGCTGAGGTGGGAAAGAAGCACGAGACGGGTGCTTAGAGAGAGTAGGAGAATGAAGGCACATACAGGATTGTCGGGCTGTGAGAGAGTCCGTCACATTACACATTTTATGTGGCTGGCAGATGGAGCCAAGGGCAATGGGAGACAAGGTCTGTGTCCTGAGCATGGGGGAGGCTGAGGAGTGGGAGGGGGGAAGTAATGCCAGTGCTGCTCCCCTGCATTTCTCTCTCCATCTCTTTTACATTTAAAAGATGAGAGAAATACTATTTACCTTAACCACCCACAGGTTGCTTTTAGGATCTGTTGTGAACCTAAGTAACTCACATGTAGCTGTGACCATGCCTGGGGACAGCCTTTTACCGGAGCAGCAGCGGTGTCAGGAGGGAGAACCGTGAGCCCCCGGAGGGCGGGGAGGAGACAGACACGGGGACAGTACATCCGGGAGATAATGGTGGGGAGGATAGGCCGCATCCCAAGCGCCTGAACACCCTGGCCTGACACCCCGGCCTGAGAGGCAGGAGACTGTCTCAGCTGCCTGTTCTGTCTGGCTCTCCTTACCCAGCTGCTGTCTGGTGGAGGCAGGCGAGAGAGGCCGGGGGTGGGCCTGCGCGGCGGTCTTGGCGGAGCCGGGGGCGGCCGTGCCGGGCGGGCAGAAGGCTGCCTGGATCACCTCGATGGCCTCAGTGTAGCCCATCTGCCTCAGGGCCTCCAGCAGCTCTCGTACTGTCCCCCCAGACACCTGCAGGGGAGAGAGGAAGGAAGAGCATGTTCTTATGTGCAAACCAGGGCGGGGAACGGCCAGGCGTGGTGGACGCCACACCACACCCCACCCTACACCCTTCCCTCTCCAAGCTGCTTCCTCACCAGCACAGCCAGATGGTCCTGGAGAGGTCAGCACGGTGTCTAAGAAAACACCGTCTCTGAGTCAAGTTTCCTGTTGCAGCTCAAAGCACTCAGGAAATTATAGAGAGGTGCTTTAGAGAGAGAGAGAGAGAGTGTGTGTGTGTGTGTGTGTGTGTGTGTGTGTGTGTGTGTGTGTGTGTGAAGGGGGGGAGAGGGGAAGGGAAGGGAGGGGGAGAGAGGAGAGGGAGGGGGAGGGATGTGTGTGGGCCGAGGCAGGGAAACTGCCTAGAGTGAAGTGTGTGCAGTATCCCTGTGGGAGCTGAGGCCCTGAAAACCACTGAGAAACAAGAGCTGTCAACACCACTTTCCAGAGAAAATAACTTCTCCCCGTGCCTTTTGATCTTGTTTTAGAAATGGGAACGTCACCAGGTAACAGCTCCGCCTCACAGGAAGCGGATCCCATGTCCTGATACTGGATCAAGCCTTCTCTCAGGGGAGGAAAGGCATGGCTACTGATTACGGTCTGTTGTGTTTATTTAGGGCCGTCAACGTGCTGTGACCATCCTGACCCTCTAGGTAGCATTTTCAAAAAAATTTCTTTAAAAGGAAATTCATGTTAGAGCAGGGGAGAGAGAGAAACGTTGGTTTGTTGTTCCACCCATCCATGCATTCATTGGTTGTCTCCTGTGTGTGCCCGGATGGGGTCTGAGCCCGTAACCCTCATGCATTGGGACGGCGCTGCCACTCACTGAGCTACCTGGCCCAGGCCCTAAGGGTCCTCTTTGCATAAAATCTCCAAATATCTGGAAATAGCCTCCTAGGAAAGAGGGTTTTGATCTTGGCTGGAGCCACCCTCAGGACATGGGTAAGGATGGATTTTCTTCCTCAGAATGAAGGGAGAGAGAAGGGGCTGTGCCCAGTAGTGACGTCAACAGAGCAAAGTCAAATGCACATGGTTAGCAAGGTCAGGCGATGGGTTACCTCGTAATTGTCCATGAGAGTTTTAGAAGGAGCAGGACTCAGCCGGAAGGCGTTATTGAGTATCCCCAGCCCTAATTTCTGCGCCAGAGTGGCCCAGTTTTTGTCTGGATCGGGAAATTCCAGCAACTGGTAGAGCTGCAACTTCGCATCTTCGTTCAGCTGCTTCATGTCTCCTGAAGGGAACGAAGAAGAGACAGGGCTGTCCTGGCTGAACGGGGACACTCTGGAGGGCACGGTGGCTGCCACATTGCTAACCCTCCAGTGCCTTCTGGAGGCCACCAGGCTCCTTTCCCCGAGAGTCAGCAGGAGCCCCGCTGAGCACCAGCAGCACGTGCTTTAGTAGGTTACCACTGGCTATTCCCTCTCATACCTCCAGGACCTCCTGATTCTGAGATAATGAACCACTGTGCCTTTCACAGAACATCCGGATAATGCCGGCTCTCCCCGCCCCCTCCAAGTCACGGTGTGGGGACAGCGCTGGTGAAGAGGACTCACCTTGTGCCAGTAAATCATCAGCTGTAAACTCGGGCTCATATGGTTTCCCATTTAGTATGTCAAATACCTGGTGGGAGAAAAACACAGGGAATAGCTGCACATTAAAGGGGCCACAAAGGGATTTTTAAAATTTTTTTTTATAAAGAACTCAGCGTGTCCTTCTTGGGAGGTGCTGGTTCCTGAAGATGAACGAGTGGAGAGAGCAGTCAGCGCCATGGCCCAGGGTACGCGGGCCCTTGGGGACTGTCTGAGAAGGGCTGGAGGACCCAACCCAGCCTCCGAGAGAGCAAGGGCCAGAGGCAGGGCAGGCGGCCACGCCAGCCGTGTCTTGGTCAGTCACTGGTCAGTGAGGTCTCCTCTAGAGCTGGGGCAGGGGAGGTGTGCCCTTCCTCAGGGCTGTGCAGCTGTGTCCCCTCAGTGACCCCCTCCCTAGGAAAAGGCTTACGAGAAGGAGTTTTATAAACTTGTTCACGCAGAGGTACAGAAATGCTCATAAGGCCTGGTAGTAGCCCCCTAGCCTCTACATTCTAACTGAGGGGCCAGAAAAGTCTTAAGTTAAAACTAAAAGAAATCCCACAGCGATGGAGGCCTTTCTGTGCCCTCTGCAGTCACGTGGCTGCTGGCGGCCCCGGGGAAGGAAGGCTTGGGTCCCTGAGCTGGGTTATCTTTCTGCATTCTGTGGCGAGGCTTCTGGGAAAGCCAGGCTCCGATGTAAAAGGAGAACCGTGTGGTCTCTGCCGGGGCACTGGCCCAATCCACAGGGGCCGCAGGAGCCGTTTTTGGGTGTGGAGCAGCGCCTGGCCTGAGGAAGTCGATTTCCTTGTGTTGGAGATCTGTGTGCTGCCCACCTCCTCCCTCCGGCTCGTCTCACCGGGCCAGGAGGACCTCGTACCTGCTTTTCACTGTCAGGTCTCAGGGGCACTCTGAGGAAGGCTTTAAATCTGTTTACTCTGTTCATATTATTGACCTCCTCAGAAGACTGTTTCCTTCTATGTTGGAGAAATCACTTACCAAAGTTTCCTTCTATGTTGGAGAAATCACTTACCAAAGTTCAAGCAAACCGTAGCATTTATTCTTTCTTCAGAAATGAAGACGGAGGTAATCCTAGTGGGGGTTCAGAATGGGTTCCTCCCAATGTGAATTGTGTGTTTTCTCTGGTCTAACCTCTCTCACAACTTAACTCGGGTCAGATCAGGCATACACTTCACACTCAGAACTCTGCTGACCTAGATCTCTCATGGATAAGCTTTTCAAGATAAGCACACAGATTGTTGTTGGGGGCATACAGATCTCCAAACAACAAAACCAGCTCTTGATAAGGAGACTTTCTTAAAAAGTAAAAGGCAAGGGCTTTGGAGAATAAAGACCCAGGCAGACCCTCTGTTCTTACATTCCCGAACCTTCAGCTCCCCCCGCCTCCCCCCCACCCTCCCCGGAGCTGCCATAAACACGGGGGCTACACTCACCTGCCAGTTGGTGGCCATATCGAGAGGTGTGGTTCCAGGTACAACCCCTTCATCATCTCCATCCCTTTCCCACGAGTCATCCAGGTCATAAAGAGGCTCAAAGTTCTCCAGTAGGGGATCTGCTCCTGAAAAGTCAAGTTACTCAGCATTAGGCAAACCCAGACCTCTACAACTGCCAACTGCCTGCAGGGGTCAGATTATATACATATATAAACATTACTTATCCATACTAATAAAAGGGCAATATGCTAATCAGACTGGATATCTTCTGGATGACCTTCCGGATGTCCTTCTGGACACAGCCATGGTGGCGGGGCCAAGGCAGAGGCGGTTAGGGGTAATCAAGCTGGCAGGGGAGGGCAGTTAGGGGGATCAGGCTGGCACCCAGATGAGTGGTTCGGAGCCAGCAGTTCTGGATTGCAAGGGGACTGCTGGTTTAGTCCCAATCCTGCAGGGGTCCTGGATTCAAGAGGGTGCAGGCCATGCTGAGTCTCCCCTCCTCCTCCCCCCGTACATTGGGCTTCTAGTTTATTCCTATCTAATAAAAGAGAAACATGCAAATTGACTGTACCTCTGCTATGCCTACCAGCCAATCAGGAGAAAATATGTAAATTAACCCAACAAATATGGTAAGAGGCCACAGAGCTGGAGAGAACAGGAGGCTTGGGTTGCCCCTGGCAATGGAGGAAGTCAAGCTTTCCATCTGCCCTGGCCCACCCTGGCCTCTGCTCTAAGCTACAAAGTTTCAATTATAGAAGATAAATAAATCCCAGATACCAGAGTCTCTGCATGGGTCACTGGGGGACGTGGCCTTGGGCAAGGGGCCTGTGGTGGTTTCCAGGCCATATCCTATTGGGATCAGGCCTAAATGGGCAGTCAGATATCCCTTGAGGGGTCCCAGACTGGAGAGGGTGTAAGCTGGGCTGAGGGACACCACCTCCCTGTGCATAAATTCCTTGCATCGGGCCTCTAGTGTGTGTGTGTGTGTGTGTGTGTGTGTGTGTGTGTGTGTGTGTGTGTGTTTGTGTGTGTGTGTATAAAAGCCTAAGCTACCATTATGGTGGAACAATCGGTCGCTATGATGCACATTGGCCACCAGGTGGCAGACGTTCATCACAGAAGCTGCCCCCCTGGTGTTCAGTGAATTCCCACAGTGGGAGCGCTGCTCAGCCAGAGGCTGGGCTCATGGCTGGTGAGCGCAGCTGCCAGTGTTGGAAGCCTCTCCTGATGCTGCGATGGCACTACTGAGCAGCGGCAGCACATGCAGCAGGCTGGGATGGGTGTGAGCGGTGCGGCACCCAGCCCGATTCAGGCTTCTCCCTGGCTGCCTGCTGCTTGGTGCACTGCTACATTCCTTGGGGGATGTCCAACTGCCAGCTTAGGCCCAAACCCAGTGCTGTTCTCTGTAGAAGGCAGAAAATCTGAACAACTCAGTGACTCAAGAAAGTGCAGGGAACTCAGAGTGAGCCTGCCTCCACGTCTGACTCAGCCACTCGATGGTGTTTGCTGGACAGACCATGGTGGCTCACCCTGTGCACTTGCAGCTGCTGCTGAAGCTCAAGCAGCAGGCTGTGCAGCAGCAGAAGGCTATCCAGCCACAAGCCAGCAGGCAGACATCATCCCCTGAGGGGTCCCGGACTGCGAGAGGGCGTAGGCCAGGCTGAGGGACCCCTCTCCCTCTAGTGCACAAATTTCATGCACCAGGCCTCTAGTAAACATGTAAAACATTTCTACTGAAGTATCCAGAGACTGTAAAGGTATCTGATGATACCCTACACATCCTTGGACACTTTCAAAACAAAAGACTTGGAATACTCTGACTCACACTTCACTCCATAGGGTAGACTGAATGATGCATCGTTAATTTAGGGACCAACGACAGCAGTTCTCAGGTGCTAGGGCACACCCTCAGGATGAGAGTCCTAAAGTTCACAACTATGTGCATGTCTCAACTTCCTCCCCTAGTTGCTCAAAAGAACAAAGACGCTTGCTGTCTAGTGACAACATGTTCAGTTTTATTCTTGGGTACAGCATGCCAGGGCCCTGATCACTGAACAAAAACACCAGAAAAGACCTCTGCTAGGATGGATAGTGACTGAAGAATTTAGGCTAATTTTAGAAAATCTAGTCTGTTTCTTAGCCCACAGCAAGAAACACCTAGAGTAACTCCAAGATTAGAGCTCAAGTTATTTTTCAAAGTCTTAGCAACTCTTTTAAGGGGAGTTTAGCTGAATGTCTCAGGACAGCAGTAAGCGAAGCACACCCTTATGGGAAGAGGAACTTGTTTTTATCTTGCTGGGAGAACATGTGACTTGTGCTAACTGTAATAATAGGGAGTGCTCAATCCAGAGACTTAGAAGCACAGAACAGACTGTTGAATCTCAGAGGGAAGGTGTGTGTGTGTGTGTGTGTGTGTGTGTGTGTGTGAAGTGATTAACCAAAGAAATGTATGCCTATATGCATTATCCATGAACACTGACAATAGTGTGGTCAAGGCCTGAGGGGGGGTGGGGTGGAGGGCGAGGGCTAGAATGGGTCCATGGGGGAAAAGGGGACATCTGTAAATACTTTCAATAAAGATTAAAAAAAATAATAGGGAGAGTCTCATGAGAGTCAAAGGAGAATCTTGATGCTATTTATTATTTCATTATCCCAGTCCTAGCCTGATGTACGAGGCAGTGCCATCTGACAATGAAAACAATGGAAAAATTCAGATGAACAATGACAGGACCAAAGACCAGAGGAGCTGAGCTATGTCGATTCCTTAAGTGACCTTCTTCATGACTTTGAGCCCAAGACTAAGTTTTTCTTGTTTAAAAATAATTTTTCATTGTTGAAAGTATGTCCCCCTTTTCCCTCTAGAACCCCTCCCAACCCTCCATCAGCCCCAGGCCCTCACTGCCTATGGTGGCCATGGGCCATGCATATATGCATACAAAGTTCTTGGTTAATTACTACCCTCCCCCCCCCCCCCCCCCACACACACACACACATTCCTTCCCTCTGATAGTTCACACTCTATTCCATGCTTCCATATCTCTGGATCCACTCTGTTCACCAGTTTATTTTGTCACTTAGACTCCATATATGAGTGAGGTCATGTGATACCTGTCTTTCTCTGACTGACTTCTTTCACTTAGCATGATACTCTCCAGGTCCAGATCAGGTTTTTCATCTGAGTTTCCTCATTTATCTACCAAAGACACTGCTACTGGCCACTCCTTCCATGAGATACTGAGCATTCAAGATAAAGCATTTTTGAAAGGGTTATAGCTCCTTGCCTGAAGGCATTTCTTAAAAGAAACCACTGACTTACCAAACTAGAAGCTTATTCAAGAGATAGTTGAAGCAGACAAAGGAGAATAGAAAAGGCTGCTGGGATGCTTGCTGCTGAAGCCAGCATATTTATGTGGGATATGATTTTACTTGTCAGAAAAATGTGGTGCCCCAAAGAAGTTCCTTCATCTTTCTAGACTCAACTTTTTAAGAAGGTGTTTAACCTGCTCTGTTTTCTTGAATTAATAAAGCATTTACTTTCTAAAAAATTTTAATAACCTCTCAAGTAAATCTGAACTATCTGTGCAGACATGAAATACCAATTTCATTAAATGGACTTGGAGATTCTAAATATTCAAAGTACTAGAGATTCACGAATGAGCAGGATTTATTTTTCCATACTTCACAGGAGTAGAGGATTAAATTGAGTAACACCTGCAGATCCTTGAGACGGTAGGGGAGAGAAACACAGTAGGGAGAATAACGTTTGGAAGTTCAGACTGACAAGGCATGAGTCATAGCTCTGCCAGTTACTGGGACCCCGAGACTGAGGTGAAAAAGCTTCTCTAGTCTGTTTTCTTGGCTATAAAATGGGAATGATACTGATGGGATTTGTCTCCAGGGGTTATTGTGGATTAAGTAAGGTGAAATGAGACAGTGCATGGGCAATGCCTACAGAGTTAGGTCAATCAATGCTACTGATTTTTAGTGCCTCACACACGATAGTACTCAATATACACGATAGTCCTGTTTGTTTTTTTCCTCTTACTTCAACTCCTAAGAGCCCTTTTTTGCAAAAGGAAATCTTTGAATTATTTCTTATACCAATATGTTTCTCCTTCTGGGGACTCCTGATGTGATGATGCTGTACTACTCAGAGTTCTGGAAGGGATTAAATTGGTGCTTAAATCTGTTGTCATGGGAGTCCACTGACAACCCAAACCCATGACAAATGGGTGCATTAGGGAGTAAGAACTGACACGATGCTCAGGATGAAGCCCAGGATTGCTAGTGCGAACAGCGCTTTGTGGCCGTCACAGTGAGACGCACCTTGCAGCAACAGGTCTGTGGCTTACAGGGGGCGGCAGGGCTGCTGGGCTGCAGCTGGGTTGGCATTGCCGATACCCTTTTCCACAGCGGACTGCCAGCGGCCTTACCTGCTGCTTTGAGAAGAGCCGCCATCCGCGTGGAGCCTCTCCCAGCCGCGATGTGCAGGGGTGTCGTCCCGTCGTAGGTGGTGCTGTCCACATCGGCATCGCCCTGCGACCAGGCCCACACAGAACACCGTGAGTTGAAGGTGCGCTCGCCCCCTCCCTGACCCCCGCCTCAGGGCTCCTTGAGTTGTATTCCTAGCACAGGTGCCCTGTAGGGCAGGCTCTGCCCCTGAAATAACCCCCAGTGAGAGCTCCTGGGCAGGGCCCATGGGAATGTCTGAGGCTGTGACTCTGAAGCCTTGCGTAGACATGAAACAGGAGTGGAATGTAGGGCCAAGACCGGTTTGGCTCAGTGGACAGAGCTTCGGCCTGCGGACTGAAGGATCCCGAGTTCGATTCCAGTTAAGGGCATGTACTTTGGTTATGGGGTGTGCAAGAGGCAGCTGATTGATGATTCTCTCTCAACGTTTCTAACTCTCTATCCCTCTCTCTTCCTCTCTGTAAAACATCAATAAAATATATTAAAAAAAAAAAAAAAGAGTGGAATGTAGGGAGAAAGGCTGAACCTAACCAGTGGTCAAGGACAACAGGGGGGTGGGGGGAGGGGTTTGGGATGGGAATGGGGGGGATGAGGACAAATATGTGATACCTTAATCAATAAAGAAACTAAAAAAAAAAGGAAAAGATTTTCCTAAATCGCCCTTGGAATTCAATGCGAAGGCAACCCCGGGCATCCCTTACCTCCAGAAGCAGACAGCCAGCCAAGGAGATGTTGTCGTGCTCCACGGCCAGGTGCAGTGCCGTGCGGCCGGACTTCTGCTCCCGTGCATTGACATCCGCCCCTGCGGCCACCAGCAGCAGCAGGCACGCCATGCTGTTGCTCATCACGGCCACGTGGATGGCGTGGAGACCTGCGGCCCAAGCACAGGGACTGTCATGGGGCGGGAAGGTGGTCCCAGGATGGCCCTCTGTGCAGCTGAAGGGAGTGACAAGACTGACCCACAGCGGGGAGGGCTGGTGGGTTGCAGCCCATCTGGTGCTGAGGGAGCCTCTGTTCCAGCCGGTTTTTCCAGGCGCTGCAAGTCAGCTGTTGTGCATGGTAACCCACAGTCTCCCTCTATGTTCTCAGGAGACACTGTGGGCAAATCCACCTTCTCGGAGTAAAGGATGCTTTCTCCAGTTCACGCCCAGTATTGTTGGGCTTCTGCTCATTCCTTCTCCTGACTAGCTCTCCCAAGTCATCTCTGAAGGAATCAGCTCTGGCGAGCAACAGAAGTTCTCCCAGAGATGAGATGGTAACTCCACGTGACTAAGGTAAAAAGCACTTTGGTGCAAATAAAACAAAAGCCTATATTTATCAAACACTGACCGTTTAGAATGCAGATAGCGGCGGTCATACCATGCTGTGTGTTTTCTCTTACCTTCCCCGTTGGGGTGGTTGATCAGAGGAGCTGCCTTCTGGTGCTTGAGTAAAATCCCGAGAATTTTATCCTGTCCTTCTTTGGCAGCAAGGTGCAAAACAGAGTTCCCCAAGCGGTCCAGAAGGCTCAGGTCGGCCCCAGCCCTCAGCAAGTCCTCCACCACAGCCTCCTGCTTGGTGATCACGGCCAAGTGCAAGGGTGTCTGGGAAGTCGGAGAAGGGGCAGGAGATAACACTGTCAGCAGCGAGCACTTACAGCCCACGGCTTGGCAGCCGTCACAGCACTGGGTTATTTTTCATTCCCAGATCAGCTAACTTCTCACCTTTGCAAAGGAATGACTCCCTGCCCCATATCATATAGGAATGAAGTATATAAACTGGACTTCTAGCCACGTATTAATATTATTTTTCCATTTACCATTCTGAATAGCTTTGTTGTTTCTCATTCCAGCTACTGATTGCTGATCTATTAACACATCTCTTAGTAAATTTAGTATTCTTGAAATTCTTGAAGGATTCTATCTTCAGCTTATAATTTCACATGTTAACAAATCAAATCAAGGCTACAGTTTTACTGAAGTTTAAATGAACCACTCAACAGAAACCAAGGAACAAAGGTGCTGTTATATTGATATGGGAAATAAATTTGTTAAATTAAAAAATACTGTTCCATAGACTGGCTCTATGAGATCAGTCAACAGAACTTTATAGACCCCATAAAAGGTACGAAAGGTTTATCTACTTTATAACTTAGAGTCTAAGTTATGGTCGGCAAACTGCAGCTTGTGAGCCACATGTGGCTCTTTGGTCCCTTGAGTGTGGCTCTTCCACAAAATACCATGGCTTGGGTGAGTCTATTTTGAAGAAGTGGCGTTAGAAGAAGTTTAAGTTTAAAGTATTTGGCTCTCAAAAGAAATTTCAATCGTTGTACTGTTGATATTTGGCTCGGTTGATTAATGAGTTTGCCAACTATTAGACAATAGGCCCACCTCACTAAGAGAGCTCAGATGAACAAACAAGCTGACCTGCTGAAGCCTACTAGGTAGGTGAAGACTCTGCCCATAAGTAGGATCTCAGCGGATGCAAATGTTTTGAAAACTGGGTGTTTTAAATATGCATAGGACAAACAATCACAGAAGTATCTTTCATAGAACTGAGGTCAGAGAATAGCAATCTATCTATTACCTACTTACCTACCTACCTATATATCTATATATTTTAAAAATATGTTTCTATTGATTTTGGAGAGGAAGGGAGAGGGAGAGATAGAACCATCAATGATGAGAGTCATTGAACTGCTGTCTCCTGCCTGTCCCCCACTGGGGACCAAGCTGCAACTTGGGCATGTATCCTGACTGGGAATTGAACTGTGACCTTCTGGTTCATAGGTCAATGCTTAACTGCTGAGCCACAGTGGCCTGACAGCAATATGTTTTTATATAAATCAGTCTATTTCACAAGAGCCTGTGAACTCCAGCCTGTCTAGTGACAATTCACTTAAACTTCCCTCTCAGGAAGCAGCTACTGTAGCAGTGCCAGCTAAAGGTCTTGGCTGGTGTGGGTGCCCACAGCACGTGGAAACTTGGATGGAAGATCTCAGCTGTCCAAGTCTCAGTTACACTGATTAATACAGTAGAAACAAGACAGGATATTTTGCCAAATTCCCATCCTCCCCCCCCCCCTTTTTTTTTGGTCTTTTAGGACTATGTCATGGCTTGAAATAGAATAATATCCTCAAAACTTTAGATATGTAGGCTCTTGGGTAAAAGCCTTCCTCTTGAAAAATAAACAAGTAAGTAAATAAAAGCTGTCCATTAATCAGAATGCTACTTGGGGAGACTGGAAAAGAAAACAGAATGAGAATAAAAGATCTGAAATGGTAAGATCTTATAGCATTCAGAGATTAGGAATTATCTGTAGCATCAATATAATTCTTTTTATTTTTTTATGCTTTGATATTTTTTTTAAATTATTGCTTAAAGTATTACAAAGAGTAGTACATATGTCTCCTTCTCTTCCTCCCTCCCTCCCCCCCCTCCCCCCCATTGACCTTCCCTCAGTCTCCCCTAAAATTCTTTATCATAAGAGAGGAGTTCTTTTGTTTTTTCAAAGTTTTCTTCCATGGTCCAACCAAAAATTTTCTATGATATTTCAGGATCTTAAACCCCAGGATTATGTCTAACACCATCACACTATATGGGGACCCAGGAATCACACAATATGGGGACCCATAAACAGAGTTATGCTATGCCTGTTGGCATGTGGACGTATGCAAGCATTCCTCTAGCCAAGCAGACAAATGCCCCAGCAGCCTAACTCCTGCATGTAAGTCTGAGAGATACAAATCCACAGGGGGCCAGAGTGAGGACACTGACTGCAGTAACGTGTACGGAGATAGGAAGCAAGAAGCTGGCTAAGTGTCCTCTGCTGGGAAACAGGTACATTGCAGGTGGAAGATGGACACTATGGGATTCTCCTCAGGAACTAGAAACAACAAACCAGCTCTGCCCACAGGTGTGTGGGTGAGTCCCATAAACAGAGGCAGGAGCATGTATAGCACAGAGTCAATTTTGCATTTAAAAAAGACATTCATGAAGAATTATGTGCGCGCATAAAACTGAAGCCCAAATAAGATCTGTGGGTTCTATCAATGTCAGTTTCCTGGTTTTGATATTGAAATATAGTTACATAAGATGGTACCATTGGGGAAACTGGGTGAAAGGTACATGGAACCTTCCGGTACATTTTTTGCAATCATGTATGAATCTATAATTACATCCAAGTACAAATGAAAGGAAAAAGTTAATGCAGAGCAGGACCCATATAATATAATGTAGACTGTATATGGAATATACTAAAGTATCTACCTATTTAAGGAAGTAAGCTATATAAACTGCCAGTTTTAAAAACAGTCATGGGGATGTAAGTACAGCATAGAGAATATAGTCAAAATCGTAAGTACAGCATAGAGAATATAGTCAAAATCCTATGCAATAAAAGGGTAATATGCAGATTGACCCGAAGGGTGGAACGACCAGACGCAGCTCGACCGGTCACGATGAGGGCACTGACCACCTCTCGGTCCCTTTCCCTGGCCAGCAGGCTCTGATTGCCTGATGGAAAATGGGTGGTGAGAGATGCAGGTTGCACCAGGGTAAGGTCCCCAACCCACCAATCACCCACACACAGAGGGCAACTTGCGACAAAGGTGGGGCCAGCAAAAGCCGGTGGGAACAGTGAACCTATTGGGCCCATCACCAGGCTGTCAGGCTCTGATCACCCAGTGACGAACAGGGACCGAGGTAGGTGGCAGCAATGGGCAGGGCCAGCTGTAGGCAACCAGGGAAGATGGCCCTGATCGCAGGCCAGGCCTGGCGACTGTACCTGTGCATGGATTTAGTGTGCCAGGCCTCTAGGGTTGTAATAACTATGCATAGTGTTAGATGGGTAGTAGAATTTTCAGGGTGATCATTTTGTAAATTTATAAATGTCTAGTCACTATGTTGTACACCTGAAATAGTGTATGTCACTATAATAGCGTATAATAATCTCTGTTAACTGTAATTGAAAAATAAAAAAAATAAAGCTTATATGTTTATGTAGCTGATACATGAGAAAATACTTACAATCATAATAGTTCTATTTGGGGGTGGGACTGGGAGACTTGCATGTTGTCAGGGAGGGCAACTTGGGATTCTCCAAGGAATGCACATCCCCTGTGCCCTTTTAAAAACTATGAGTATATATTATATTTATCATAATTGAAAACAAAAAAAATACAGTCACAAAAAGCCCCACTAATGTTTTATAGGAACATATGCAAATAAAAAACCCACATCAAACACACTGGAGTGAGAGGAAGGGGAGAGGAAGTAGGGTTGAAAGGGAATAGATTACAGAAATATTTTCAGTAAAACCTTAGTTCTGTGGACTTGGATTATTCTGCGTGTGACTCCAGAGAGAGAGAGAGAGATGTGGGGAGAGAGATGTGATCATGACAGATGACCACAGAAATGTACGAAGAAAGGTATTTTGGGAGAATGTTTAAGATAATTGCCAAATAATCCAAATTACTTAAGAGAACTGCTCAATTTCTCATCAAGAATAGTTACAGAGAACTTCTACAGTAGCTAAACAAGAGTCCAAGTCTCAGCGGTCTCTAGCTCTCAAATCAAAGTTGCTGTTGGGTGTGTGTTTGAGATGTAGAAAGCATACATGGGATCCAGAATCTTTGCCCACTAACAAGAGAAGTAGTGGGAGGGGAGGGAAAAAATTGGCCTGTATTCTCCTGAGAGTCCCTGAGTCAGAAGGCTCAGGAGTGGGATCTCTGGGTCAAATGGCAGTTCCAATTTTAATTTGAGGCAACTCCATACCATTTTGCATGGTGGCTGCACCAGTCTGCATTCCTACAGACAATGCACTTACTGGTAGGGTTCCTTTTTCTTCACACCCTTGCCAGCACTTGTTTGTTGATGTATTATTGGTAGCCATTCTGGCAGGTGTGAGGTGATAACCTCATTGCCATTTTGATTTGTCTCTCTCTGATGATTAGTGAGGTTGAGCATTTTTTCATGTCACTTAGCCATCAGTATGCCCTCTTTGGAGAAGAGTCTATTCAGGTCCTTAACCATTTTATAATTGGATTGTTTGTCTTCCTTTTGTTGAGTTGTTTATAGACTTTGGAATTTGACCCTTTGTTAGATGTGTCATTGGTGAACATGTTCTTCTACACAGTGGGTTCCCTTCTCATTTAAAAAAAAAATATATTTTATTGATTTTTTACAGAGAGGAAGAAAGAGGGAGAGAGAGTTAGAAACATCGATGAGAGAGAATCATTGATCAGCTGCCTCTTGCACCACCCGCCACTGGGGATGTGCCCGCAACCAAGGTACATGCCCTTGACCGGAATCAAACCTGGGACCTTTCAGTCCCCAGGCCGACACTCTATCCACTGAGCCAAATTGGTCTTGGCTCCCTTCTCATTTTGATGACGATTTCTTTTGCTGTGTAGAAGCTTTTTTTAGTTTGATGTAGACTCACAAATCTCAGAGGGGAAGGATGGGAAATGGGAAGAGATTATGTGAATTTATATGAATACATGCATAGCCCAAAGACAGAAGTGTAGAGAAAGCTGTGGGGGGGTAGGGGTTGGGTGGAGTGGAGCAAAGGAGGGGAGATGAGGGACATCTGTTATATTGTCAACAATACAAAATATATATTAAAAAATAATAAATACATTAAAAAAAAAGGCTCAGAAGTGCCACAGGTGGTGGTTTCAGGGTTTTGCTCTAGCACCCTGGAGTCTCAATATATGTAACCAAACGCTTGAGTAAGGAGGATAGCGCACAATAAATCCCAACTGCGGAGCCTGTTGTACTGTGTCCTTTGCAGGACCTATGTAAAAACAGAAAAGCAACTAATTCCCTGAATCGGACCTACAGGCAGAGAAGTTCGCAGCCTTTGAAAGGAGGGCCGCAAAGTGACAACTCCTGCCTGGTGCCTAGTTTGACCGACACAGGCAGATGGCGAAAAGGAACAGGCATTCCAAAGCCTCAGCGAATCGATCTTTATGGCCAAATACTAACAACCCTCAAGTGTTATAGAAAGTACTGAAGAAGACATCCTTCACACACAGTGTATCTGACATTAGACCTCACCCTGGCTATTTTATACCGAGTCAGGGAGGAATCCCTAGCTTCACTTGTCCTCTGACATGAAGCCCAGCAGCCACAGAAGCCTTACGCCCAATGGGAACTTGTGGTTTGCCTTCTCAGGGAACACTTTTTAAAAAAATATATTTTATTGATTTTTTACAGAGGAAGAGAGTTAGAAATATCAATGAGAGAGAATCATTGATCAGCTGCCTCTTGCACACCCCCTACTGGGGATGTGCCCGCAACCAAGGTACATGCCTTTGACCGGAATCGAACCTGGGACCTTTCGGTCTGCAGGCTGATGCTCTATCCATTGAGCCAAACCGGTTTCGGCTCAGGGAACACTTATTCACGGGTAAAAACCTGTTGATAGCTACGTGTACTAGTAAACATTTTAGTACATTTGCTTTGAGGAAATAAAAAGGATTCATATCATCTGCTTTAAAAATTGACAACTAGCCCTTTATCACATAAATACTTGTATGAGATCGCTATCTGTATTTTCAGCGTGAGAGAGAGGCTTGACTCAGACATCCAGCATACCATCTAGGCCAAGGTCTGGGTAGTCACTGTGGGCTGAGTGAAGGCAGGAAAAAACAGGACAGCTGAGCCAGGGTGAGACCAACAGACAGACAGAAGCCTGGTGGGGGCCAGGACAGCATCCAGGGGAGAGAGGTGGGGACAGCTCTGGAAAGTGGAAGCCCCCTCACCCCATGCTAGTGTGGCCGTAGGTCCCTTAGCCAGGGAGGCTGGCCCAGGTCTCGGAGCTCCCAGCACCAGCACCCAGGCTTTGACTCTGCCCAAGCAGTTTCACTCTTTCCTCGCTGACATGTGCATGCGCTCAGCGGGCAGCCTCCAGAAGCTCCACCTAGCCTCTCTCTGCAGCTCTGAAGGCCTCTCTAATGGAGTTCCTCAAGTGGCTTCTGAGCCCACTTTGAGCTCTTTCTGTTTCTGAAAGACATTTTTTCTTCCTCAGGCAGCCTTTTCATCTTTTTGTATTCTGATTGCATCAGCACCTTTTGTTTGATATACATGTAATTTACAGGTTGTCAAAATGTGTTTCAGCAGACTTCAAAATTCTCGCAAACGATTGTCTTTGCAAGCTTAATCTTTTTTTCAACTTTATTTTTCTTGACAGACGTGATGCATTTATGCGAGGTTCTTCCTCTAAAATGGATGGACTCTTTGATGGCCTCTAAAGTTTAAAGTTCGCCTTCCTGCAGCAGCTGCGACCTTTCACTGTGGGTGACTGCTAGCACACCAGATCAAAGCATCCTATTCACTGAAGAACATTTCTGAGTGATAGGCTTTGAGAATGTTACCTGCAAAGATGTTTTGTTGTATGTATCTCTACTGCTAACATTATTAGAAATAACACACACCACACCACACACACACACACACACACACACACACACACACACACGTGCATGTGGATATACAAACCATAGATTTTTCATTTGAATCCCTGATAGTTCTGCTTACCTGGTAGAGGTCATTCCTCATGTTGATAATGTCATCCAAAACCAAACCGGACGTGACTTCTAGCAGATCCCTCACAAGCTGAGCATGCAGGTGGATGATTGCTAAGTGTAAGACACTGGAACAAAAATAAATGGCAACAATCAGCTAAAATGTAAATGGGGAGAAAAAAGATTTCTAAGATATGATTAGATTTGGAGGCTACATCTGGCTCTCATTCCTAGTTTCCTTTAGCCCCAGATGTTCTGAATCAGTAGCATGTCTGAGTCTGAGGTGGGTGCTCTTCTGCCTACCCAGGGCTCCTATGCTCTGCCTTGTCTCTGGGGGCTTTCAGGTTTGATACTCCGCTCAGGCGGAAAGGCACCTGGGCTCTGAGGCAGAGAGCTGAGTTCAAATCTCCACTCTGTCCCTGCCCCCACATTCCAGGGCACTTTCTCTTGTAACTTTCCCTGACAGGTAGGCAATGCACGTAGGGTGCCTGAACTCGGATCTGTGCAGAAAATGTAGCTACCTCACCTGCCCTGCCATCATGCAAAGTACACTGTGGTGGCCTTTTAAGATCTTCTGAGATCCTAAGAGGGGAAAATAAAGTCATGCTTTTAATAAGTAGAAGACTCTTGAGGCAAACTTAAAAAAAATATATTTTCATTGATTTCAGAGAGGAAGGGAGAGGGAAAGAGAAATAGAAACATCAATGATGACAATCATTGATCAGCTGCCTCCTGCAGGCCCCACATGGGATCGAGCCCACAGCCCTGGCATGTGCCCTGACTGGGAATCAAACCATGACCTCCTGGTTAATAGGTCAAACAATCCGCAACCTTGACAAACTTTTGAAGGAACACTCCAATGTGTTTCTCCCTCACAGATACCCCCTTAGCCTGAAATGGTTTTGCTGCCTCTCCATCTTCATACTCCACTTCAAGCCTTACCTCCTTGGAGAAGACTTCCCCAACTTCCTAGGCAGAGAGAGTTGTCTCCTCTTTAGTTTACCACGTGGCTGCACAACTACAGTTTTCTCTACATCTCTCTCCCTCTCCGGCCTTGGAGGCCGGTTCTTTCTGGGTCAGCCTGACAGGCCTGGTACAGCCTTACAGTTTAGGTGCAATAATAAGGATGACTGAAGAAACCTAGGAGCTTACACTATCAAGGTAAAAAAGGTTGGCGGTTGCCAAGCATCACTCCATTTTCTTTGTAAAAAAAAACTTATTATTAAAATTAATTTGATAACAGTAATAAAAGTGGCTACTATTTGTTTAGAGCATCTATTTAAAAGACTGCTAAACACCTGACATACATTATATCCTTTATCATAACAACAATCGAACGAGATAGGTAAGATTATCCCCATTTTTCAGATGATGAAAGGGAGACTGATAGGTATAACAGAATTCAACCTGGGTCACAGAGCTAGAGAGGTGAAGCTGGGATTTAAGCACAGGTCAGTCTTGCGCCAATACCATCTCTTAATCTTGTTTTAGGGGCACATGCACATTGGTCTGGAGGGTTGTAGGTGAACATCTAAGACAGTGGTCGGCAAACTCATTAGGCAACAGAGCCAAATATCAACAGTACAACGATTGAAATTTCTTTTGAGAGCCAAATTTTTTAGACTTAAGCTTCTTCTAATGCCACTTCTTCAAAATAGACTCGCCCAGGCCGTGATATTTTGTGGAAGAGCCACACTCAAAGGGCCAAAGAGTTGCATGTGGCTCGCGAGCAGCAGTTTGCCGACCACGGATCTAAGAGGATAAATAACGCTAAAGTGTGGGCAGACTGTGATGCAGGGCACACTCAAGTGTCACCCGGCGGCAGTAAGTCTGTGGTTTGAGGCACCGACCGGATCTGCTCTAATATAAAGATAATAGGTGTCATTTCACCCAGGCCTTTTTCTTAGCAATAGCAAGGGTATCAGCCTTAGGATTGGCACAGGAGGGCCTCAAAAACGAAGTGTGACTCCATTACTCGGGAGAGATTTTTTTTTTAATGACGGTTTCAGAGTTTCACTACTGTCTCTCGAAATGAGAGGCTGGAGGGAGACTTCTGAAAAAGGCCTGAGGTCTGACGCAGACATGATGCACACGTACCAAGAAAAAGGCCATGCTTCAAAAACGGCCTAAAATTTTCCATGTGCAGCTCAGCACTTCACAGCAGAAGCAACTTCCCCTTCCTCCCCAAATCCTCACACCCTCCTGGGAATTTCCCCAGTACCAGAAGTTTTTATTATTTTGTGTCTTTGTTGTATTTTCTGTGATGACTAATAGCCACACGATTTAGGTTGTTAGCTGCCTAGGACAAGCTCAGTGAAAACAAGAGACCTAAGTTCTGAAGGTCAAAAGGTACCTCTTGTCTACATTCTTTCGGGGACTCCTCTTTGGTCTCCCCAAGTCTCAGCCCTCCGGCCTCTGGCTGTGTCAAGCCCCTGCCAGCCTGCTTGCATGGGTATGTCTGGGGTCCTAGGAGGGGACCTTAAGTTTTGATTTCCTGCTTGGGCAGGGAAGGCCACCTCCTCAGCGCCTCCATAGATGCCCAGAGTCCTTACACGTGTGTCTGACTCCCCCACCCCCAATGCACCCACTTCAATGCAGGCGCCTGTACCCTTCCCACAATCCTCCTTCCCACAGCAGGAATCTCTTTCTAACTGGTATGTGCTCATCTTTCTTAGGCTCATCATTCAGCAGGTCCCTAACAATGTCACTGAAAATGCTGCTGTCCTGCCTCGGCTCACTGCTTTCTCTTGTGGTTATACGGTACTAAGTGCTAATCGGAGAACTCAACCCAGTTGAAAAAACATTCTGCTTCTCATGGCATTACACCAAGAAGGGTGCACGGGCTCCTCTCTTACTGTATAACAAGGCCAGTGGTTATACCACATCCTTGGTTACGCTGCAAGGAGTGAGAACAAAGGTCTCTGAAAACCTGAGATTGGCACTTTCCTAAAGCGCCGGGTTCGGTTTGTAAGCGGAGGTTTAAAACGCAGCACTCAAGAGCCCTTTCACAGAAAAGGATTTTGCTGTCAACACTATTTTGGGAAGGCTTCAGATAAGGCATCTGATTTGAATCTGAGGGCTGCTGTCTTGTTATTTTTGTAGGCTGCTGAGATCATTTTAGAAGTCTCAGTGAGAAGACGAAGAGAACCGTTTTTAGAAAGAAGCCAGGTGGCTCTGCAAGTACAAGCCCAGTCACAGCAGGAATGGGAGGCATGGTGTTGGGAATGTTAGACTCCTGTGCAATGTGGGTTAGAGCGGTCATGAGCCCGAGCCAGTCATAGACTGGTGACCATTAACAGAGGCAGTAGAGAAGGAACTAGTAACCAGGAAAGAATGACATTTGTGTCTTAATCATTTTGTTGTTATGCTGTCATTTATTTTTTATTTTTTTTTAAAGACTTCGGCACCCAGAATTTCTTGGTTGTCTCCCATCTAAGTACTAGCCAGGCCTCACCCTGCTTAAACTTCCCAGATCAGACAAGATTGGGAGGGTTCAGAGTGGTATGATCATAGGATGTGATGTCTTTATTGTAAATACACTTTTGGGATAACAAGTGTTTTAGGGGTTTGGTAGGACCACATTTTATTATTATATTACTAGAGGTCTGGTGCACAAAATTCGTGCACTGGGTGGTGGTAGCCCTCAGCCCAGCCTGCACCCTCTCCAATCTGGGACCCCTTGGGGGATGTCCGACTGCTGATTATGATTGGTTGGTTTCTATGCCAGTCAGTATCAAAAGCTCTGCCTCCTAGGCAGACATTGGCTCCTCACAGTTGACCCAGATTTGATTCTGATTGGTCGGTTTCTATGTCAATCAGCATCTCTGGGCCTATCAATAGGGTCTGATCAGAAAGGTGGGGCTGATCAGCAGCTCTGGTGAAGGCCTGGAGAGAAATAGAGGTATGGCTGCTGACCAGGCCCAGGAAGAAAGAGAGAGGCAAGTGCTAATCAACAGCTGTCACAGAAGCTATGGATCAGACCCTGCTTCTTTCTTCAGGCCTCTCTCCAGGCCTGATTCGTAGCCCCCTCAGCAGTCAATGCTGGGTCACCATGGCCACCCAGTGCTGACTGCAGGACTGACTTCTGGTTGGTCGAGCCTCTGGTCATTGCAGATGTGGTGGACCCAGGGTTTTTATATATTAGGATTCCAAAGCAAATGATATTAAAGCAAATATTATTACTCTTCATATATTATTCCAAATTTTATTTCCATAAATAAAGCAAGTCTCTTAAAAAAGCACTGCCCCACTCCCCCCGATACACACACATACAATTTAGTTTCCTTGTCCAGAATGCTGTACTCTTAGGTGAGTATTCCAGTGATTCTAGAGTCCAGGAGATGAGAGCCACAGGACAGGAGAAACAAATTATGCCACTCAACCTTACTGACACATTCTTTTCCTTGAAAGATAGTATTCTAGTTATATGATTCAATCATTTTGCTCAATTCTCCTTTTCTCTAGCCAGCATGCACACCTTGATTAGCTCTCTTCCCTGCCCTAAAACAAGCCTTGTACATGGAAGTCTGGACTTACCAGTCCCCATTCTCATCCTGTACTGCAGTGAGATGGCGCTGGACAGCCAGCAGCATCTTCACGTCTCCTGTCACCGCGTAGTCAAACAGGGCATTGGCATGCCGCTTGGCGAGCTCCAGAGCCTTCTCCAGAAAGAGGTTATCTGCAAGGCAATGACCAAAATCACAACTGAGTTTCCTATACTTGCTCTACAGTCTGGCATGCTTGAGATCAAAAACCAGCACCAATGCTCCTTTCAGTGCTTCTGGGTTGTATTCGCTAGAAAAAGCACAGTTGGACATAGGCTCACTGGAACATACAGAGGCTGGTCTGAAAAATCTATCAACAGTTGCTAGGGGGAAAGAAGTTTAGAAATGTCTGTTATTTAAAGAGGAACAATCAGTCTCCAAATGAAGTTGATTGGATTTGGCGATCATTATAAATACTTAATCTCCTGGTAAAATAATCAATCCTTCACTGAACTCCTGAGCAATTCGCTCGTTGGGCAAGTATCAAAAACCACAGTCCCTGCCACACACAGAGAGATTTTCCAGGAGCCATTGGCGTTTTGTACAGTTTCTTCCTGAAGAAATACCGTGGGGCAAATCCTGGGCGTGGCCTGTTCTTCTATGGCCCCTAGTTAAGCAGGGCTTGGTTCATTTTTATTTATGTATGTATGTATGTATGTATTATATGTATGTATGTATTTGTTTATTTAATTAAAAATATATATTTTTTATTTTTTACAGAGAGGAAGGGAGAGAGATAGAGAGCTAGAAACGTTGATGAGAGAGAAACATCGACCAGCTGCCTCTTGCACCCCCCCCACCGGGGATGTGCCCACAACCAATGTACATGCCCTTGACCGGAATCGAACCTGGGACCTTTCAGTCCGCAGACCGACGCTCTACCGCTGAGCCAAACCTGTTTTGGTGGCTTGGTTCGTTTTTAAAGGGGTGTAAAATTTGTAATAGAGACCACATGTGGCCCCCAAGTCTAAGTATTTACTATTTTCCTCTTTACCTTCTGAGTGTAATCTGGGATGCCCTAGAATCCTGACATAGACTCTAATGATCATTGGTTCAAAAGGTACACAAAACTACACCGACCCTCCTAATCCTGATTCTTCAACAGTGCATCAGGATAAAAGGACAAGTTCTTATTTTGAGGCAAAGTTCCACTTTAGTATGACAGTCAAGCTAGAATCTAGAGGAGAGAGACTATTAAACTTATAGAAACTACTTGTCTCTATTATCTGTGGTAGAAATGAATTAGGTTCTGACTCAGATACTATAAACCTGCATGATTATGACTGGAGAATGCATCTGTAAATTTCAGTATTTTGTATAGTCAAACACAACACTGAGAAAACAGACATCCCAGTGTGAGTACAATGACCTGATAGCTTTTGTGCCTTTTCAAAAGGCACAAAGGACTCTGGAGAGCACACTGAACTAGACATGGCTTTGTCATCTTTACATTAACAACAACAACAAAAAAATCTGTTTTCTGGAAACAACCTTTACAACTCACACCGACTCACCCCCACACCCACCATGCAGTGTAATTATCTGTGTGCTCACTTACCCTGAAACCTAGAATTCTCTTTCTTTACTCCCACTGGATACGTCAGAGTGCCCTCCTCGTCCCTCTGGCCCGATCCCTTATCTGGTTCTGTGGTTTCAGTGACTTTCCCAGAGAGACGTACAGCCCCTCTGCCATCACTCTCGTCATAACCCTCAGGGTCATTTTTAGATGAGGTGTCCATGATTCCTAAAACAAAAGATAAAACACCAACTTTTTCTCAATAAAATCTATTTGTTAAAATTATGAGTCTCTACTTAATGGAGGTCAGATAATTTAAATTATTTTTAAAATGATTATAAGTAACATGCTTTGTAGCTATTTTAAACTCTTACTTCTAAAAACATTTTACAATATAATGACTCGATATTTGCATTTTTTGCAAAATGATCATTACAATAAATCTAGTTAACATCTGTCAGCATACACAGTTACAGATTTTTTTTTATTGTGATGAGAACTTTTAAGATATTTAAACCCATTTTTTTTCCTAACACTTCTAAAAACTTAAATCACTTCTGTTTATTTTTAAGGGACAAAATGACATAAAGCCCTTCTGGGAATTGCAGGAAAGTAGAATTTTTAATGTTGTTGAAAGGAGAGGATTTATTTCTTTCCTATTGCTAATTAACCACATAAGTTGTAAAAATGAGATCTCAATTCATGTTCTTCAGTGTGGGAGTGACCCAGTGCATTATTTTGGATCATGCTCTTTCAGGTCCACCTGTGTTGTCTGACAGGCCCAATGAAAGAGCAGCTATGTTTTATGAGCAGACCTTGTTCAAATCCTGGTTCTGCCATTAACAGATATGTCTTTCAGTGAGTGAATGAACACTTTTCTACCTGTTCTCTGACTGTTAAACGGAGATGCTAATATTTTCCTTACAGAGCAATCATGAAGATTAGTTAGAACATGTTAAAGCAGCATGCAGAGAAGGGAAGACTTCAAAGTAGAAGACATGTAACATAAACTATGAATGCATGGTGTGACAGCTGCTGATTAGGGGAAGCATTTGATGGGAAAAGGCCATCCCTATAAAATTCACAATGTCTACAAAAGTATAACGTTTGAAAAACAAAAACAAAAACAGAATAGCTAAGTTTGATGACTTTTTATGTTGGAACTAGAGGCCCGTTGCACAAAATTCATGCACTTGGATGGAAGATCCCTCAGCCTGGCCTGCGCCCTCTCGCAATCTGGGACCCCTTGCTCCTTACCACCCGCCTGCTCGCTGCTCCTTACTACTCGGCTGACTCACTGCTCCTTGGCGCTGCAGTGGAGGTGAGAGAGGCTCCTGCCACCACCGCTGCACTTGCCAGCCATGAGCCCGGTTTCTGGCTGAGCGATGCTCCCTCTATGGGAGCACACTGACCACCAGGGGACAGCTCCTGCATTGAGTGTCCTCCCCCTGGTGGTCAATGCATGTCTTAGTGGCCAGTTGTTCTGCCATTCAGTTGATTTGCATATCAGGCTTTTATTATAAAGGACTATAGAAGGGGAGCCATTGGCGTTTTGAAGGTCCCTCAGCCCAGCCTGCACCTTCTTGCAATCTGGGACCACTGGCTCGTAATTGCTCACCTGCCTGATCACCCCTCATCATTCTGCCCGACTGCCTGATTGCCCCTAACCATTCTTCCTGCCTGATCATCCCTAACCACTCTACCTGCCTGCCTGATTACCGTAACTGCTCTCCTACCTGCCTGATTGCCCCTAACCACTTGCCTGATCACCCCTAACTGCTTGTCTGCCAGCCTGATCGCCCCTAAATGCCTTTGCCTTGGCCATCTGCCCACTGTGGCAGCTTCCTTGGCCCCCACAACTTCGTCCAGAAGGTATATTGGAAGGATGCCCAGAAGGATGTTCGGCTGTCTGGACTAATTAGTATATTACCCTTTTATTATTATAGACAATCAAGTCTCTAGATATACCTTTTTAATGTCCTTGTCTTCCCCCCATTCATGCCACTTACAAAGGACGCAAGTATAAACATAGCATCAGGAATAGAATTTTCCTCAGGAAATAAAAATATTTTTGGAAAAGCATCTTAGCTTATTTGCATTCATCATTTTTTTCAAGATGATAATGCTGTTGTGATAAATAAGGATAAAAAAGGATAAAAATCCTGTTTGGCATTAAGTTTTTTCTTCCTTCCTCAATATTAAAAAAAAAAAGTCTTACTTACCATGCTTCATCCCAGCATTAGATTTAGTGGTTCCAGGGTGGAAGGTAATTCCACTGTATGTTGGAAATCCATAGTGGGGGAAGCCATATCCTGAAATGGCAAGTAAAACAAAGGGGCCCTCAAGAGTTATGTTTTTTTTTTTTTTACAAAGACTCAGCAATCTCCATGTCCCCCATCCAGGTGAGCACAGGCTTGGGTGTGGGAGGGCATTTGCCTGACACCGTGCTCTGCTGGGAGTTAGCAAGATGCATCATGGGTGTCCTAGATGACCAGCGTTCCATTCTGGCAAACTGACACCTGGCAGGTCAGGCCGTGCCCAGGCTCAGGCCGCACAGCTGGAGAAAACCTCCCTCACCCGTTCAGAAGAGAGGCTAATGATGAGAGGTCACCACCCAGGGGCAGACTCGCCGACACAGAAGACATGAAAATAGCTTCTGGAGGAGAGCACTGAACCAAACAAAATACAGAAAAATATGCTGCCTTCTCAGAAACATGGCTATCTGTTTATTCCTATGCATTTTTGGTAGAAGCATAAGCTGGTAAAAAGTCTGTGGGAAAGCAGCTAGTCTTACTAGTTGCTATATTCTCTGACCTAGTAATTTTACTTCAAAGAATCTAATCTTCAAAAATCTGCAGTAAAAGAAAAGCAATGTGGATAGAAGAGTTCAGTATAACATTTTACATAGAAAAAGGTGACAACTGTCAAGAAAGTTACATTATGGTCTGTTCACTTGATGAACTATTACTGTCATTAAACTGATGCTTAAAAATATGCATCAGTTTATGTGAAGTTTGATATTACCTTGGGAAAATGCTTATGGAAACCCATTAGAGAAAAGCAGCATAAGGATTCTCTACATACTCTCATGATGTGATGATAATAAAGAGATAATACAAGTACATGGGTTAAAATACAGCATAGAATAAGGATAGACACAACTGTATTTGGGAAAATGCATAAATATAGACTATAATCTAGGAACAGAAAATAGTAGAAATCATACCTTGGATAGAATTTATATATTTTGAGACTTTCTATAATTTTCAGTTTTTCCAAAGAATACCAAAACAACTATGACAAAAAAAAAAAGAAAAAAAAAAGAAAAAAAAAGAAAAAAAAGAAAGAATAAGAAGAATAAGTAGAGGAACTATACCAAAATGTTAACAGAGGTCTTTTTTGACTAATTGGATTTGGGTGATTTTTTTTTTCTTTTTAGAGTTTTTTAGTATTATCCACATGTTGTAAAATGCAATGGCACTTCTTTGAAAAAGTTATATTTGTTGGGAAATTGTAATTTAGTGTGTCACACTCAATAATGTCATAGCCACTCCACGCACAGATAAGCTGGGAAATATCGAGAAAGAAAATTCTCCCCTCTCCTACGTGAAAAAGCTTTAGAGAGAAGCTGGTTTGTACCTGGACCGGTAGTTCCAGCGCCGCCTCCTCCACCGCCACTGCCGTACATGCCTCCACCTCCAGCCCCGGCACCACCGCCGCCTCCGAAACTGTCCGAAAAGTTGGGCATGAGCTTCTGCCGCTTCCTCTGCACTTCCTCTTTATCTGTCATGAAAGGAAGAGAAACCAAAGGAGAAAAAAAATGGATGCAGTTCCACTACTAGCCACAGAGAGAATACTGATTCTAATGGTATTTTTAAATATCATAAAGGGAAACAGAAAGCATCCAAGGAGGAAGAGATGCCAAATTTCAAGAAGCATCATGTTTATTCCAGCGAAACAAAGACTGAGAACCAGCCAGAGAGACCACAGAACAGCACACACCCAAACCCCCTCTGCAGCAGTCTCTTACGTCTCCGAGGTCATACAAATTAGTGAGACACTACAGTGCCCATCAGAGATTCAGATATGAATAAGAAAAACATTACTGAGCATTTTCACTTGGTCATACAGAACAGCTCTGGCTAACCGGCTAACGTTAATTAGGTATGTCCCGCGAGATAAGGTTTGGGCATATAGAGAAGTAGGATATAATGTCTTTGCTGTCAAGAACCCCCTGATATAATGTTAAGGCCTCAGGAGGGGAACTTAGAGAGATAGCACTACGATGCGATACATGTGGAATGCATGGTACAAACCCATGTTCCAGGAGCTCAAGGAAGGACCCCGGGGAAGTGCCAGTGGGCTGGAAGATTCAGGAAATGTCTCCTAGAATCAACTTTACATCAGGAGAGGGCATCAGAAGGGTGTTCTGGGAAGAGGATACAGAGGGCGAATAATGAAGGAAAGAGTGCGCACTGTGTATTTACGAGGACAGCAGTAGGGCAGTTTAGCTGAAGTAAAAGTTTAATATGATGAGTTCTTGAGAGACAGCCCTGATTGGGACCACACTGCGGAGCACTTTTGAGGGTGAACTGAAGGCGCTTAACTTTAAGCAGGAGAGCCAGCCAATGTTTTTGAACAGGGGAATGGTGTGTGGTGCTGATATTGGAGGAAATTCATCTGTCACTGGTATATCGGACAAAATGAATGAGTCAAAGTAAGCCCTGACAGGTGTGGTTCAGTTGGTTGAAGCATCATCTCATACACCAAAAGGTGCAGGCACATGCCCCGGTTGTGGGTTTGATCCACAGTAGGGGCAAATGTGGAAAGCAACCAGTGGATGTTTCTCTCTCAAACTGATGTTTCTCTCTCTCCTCTCTTTCTTCCTTTCTCTAATAATAATAATAATAATAATAATAATAATAATAATAATAATAAAGAATCAAAGTGAGAGACAGAGACAGTACAGACATAATTTGATGGAGACTGTTCCTTGGTTACCATGGTAATCAAAATAGGTGGAGCCCAAAATACAACGAAAGAGAGGTCTGTCGCCCTTGGGGCGATGGGTGAGATATAGAAGGCTAAAGGTCTGTGACCACTACTGGACTACAGTACAGTGACTGTCCAGGTCTAGGTCCTCATTAGACCCTCCTCTCCTTCATCATGTTGCTCTATTTTTCTTTCGCTAGTCACTATCAGTGCTTCTCACCAGCCCAATGGCCCCCGAGGCCTGGCCCTGCCTTTGTGGTCTATTGTTCCATTCTTGTTTCTTCTTTCTGTTTCCCTTTCTCTTCTCTGATTGATTTTCCTACTATTAATTTTTTCCTTCCCTTCTCTCTTTCGGGCTGAAGGAACAATAAAAAAAACAAGATTTTTGTTTAAATGGAATAAACAGTCAATATGGTATCCTTCCCCCCCCATCCTCAGCCAATTGTCTTAGTTCTGATTTCTCAATGTCAGTTGTGATCTGTGTTTATGTTCAGAAATATCTTCCCTTCTTTCTAATCCTGCAGCTGTTTCCATCATCTCAGGGTTGGAAAGAATGCTGCTGTTTACTGATGTTCTCCCGATCATCTGAGTGCAGATGGAAGCGGAAGCAGGGAAAGTAGGGTAGCAAAGCACATTTAGGAAATCATCGTTTAAAAACTGGCCATGTCCAGGCTTGTTAGGAGGGAAAAAGCTATGGTGGGTCAACTCTGAAGACTCTGTGCTTCCACAGAAAGAGATGACCTTAACGTGGAGAAACACCAACTATCTCTTTACCAAAAGGTTTGGATAGACTTATCACATTTTCCACCAGTTGTACCATAACTAATCGTCACACTTATTTACTCATCTTATAAACTGTTGCACTCACAGTGAATATCATTTCATTAGGAATATGAACCATGAGAGGGACACAGGCAACTTATTCATCTTTCGAAATAAATGGTATCTACTGATGTGCTTCTTAGCACAGAGATCATTTTATATTTGCTATGTATTTATTTTGACTTATAAAGCAGATATCCACTGGTTATATTTCACTCTAAAATTTTAAGGGTCATCTTAAAAAAATATTTACCATACAGCCACTAAAATTCCAACAACAAGATACAGAAAAATTCCATGTGACAAGCTTTTTAAATAAAAAAAATCTACAGTCTAAATGTCTGAATTGAAGATTACATGAAGATTTTCACACTGGGCTCATGCATCCTTGTGATCTGCCTTTGACAGTGGCACCATGGGATGCATGATGAGACATTGAGCTAATTCTAGAAGGGACCTAATTCTAGAAGACCACTCACTCTAGGCCCTTCTTTTACAGTAAAGAAACCAAAGCTAAGATGATTAAGGGACCTGTTTGAGGTCAGGTCAGAGTGAAGATCAGGTCCAAAGTCCAGTGAGCTTTTCATTTTAGTGAGCTGCTATTTGTCGGGAAACATAATTTAACATAAACATATAATTTAAAGATTATACTGTTTCTTCCTAATCTCCATCTTTTCAGACTGAAAAATCACATGGTCTTTCTTTGCTTTTGCATAGCTGTTCCTCACCTATTTTTGCCCTTGTCAATCATCCATCTTTTTTAATTATCTCCCCTGGACTCAATCATCCATCATTTTAATTATCTCCCCTGGACTCAAACATCTCCATGGAGTTTTAATAAAGTATAATGCCAATGACCATAGAGGATGCAGAGTTCAGGGCTGGATGATTCTGAAAAATGAAAAGAATATGTTATATTTCTTTATCTAATCTCCTACTTGATGACATTCAACAAATTATTAGCCTTTTGAATGAGATTGGAAGCTTGGATAATTAATAAGTCAGCGCTCAGGTATTTAATGAGCATCTACTATGTGACACATACTGTTCTAGATGCTGGAGGTGTAGCAATTAACACGAAAAGCCAAATCTGTGGCCCAAAGAATATATCTCTTGCTGGAGGTAGGAAGAAGATAACAAACACATAAATTAGTAGAGAAGACTATTTTATATACTGAAAAAAATAATGAAGAATATAAATTTAGACTATGAGATAGGGAGTGACTGCAGGGAATGGGGGCAGTGGGAAGTGCGTACAATGACTTCTGAGAAATGGGTTGCTTAGTTTGCATCATGTTCATACACTTATTTTCATGTGAACTGGCCTGCTATTTACTGACTAGTCACAAGCCTGGTGTGATTGGTTCTCCTTGTGATTATTCCACTTTGGGAATTTTATAATCCAGAAAGTTTTATAGGCTAAGGTAATTTATCTTCAATATAAAGTTCTTATCTCACAGTGACTCAATGCCTCAATGTACGTTGGTCTTTCTTTCTTTGGAGCTCAACGATTAACTCTTATTTTCCTAGATGGTTCTTTTAAAAAATATTTTGTTTTGTTAATCCTTACCTGAGGATATTTTCCCAATGATTCTTGGAGAGAGTGGAAGAAGGGGGAGGGACACAGAGAAACATCAATGTGAGAGAGACACCTCGATTGGTTGCCTCATGCGGTGCCCCAACCAGGGCCGGGGATTGAGCCTGCAACGGAGCTACATGCCCTTGACCGGAACTTAACCTGCGACCCTTTATTCTACAGGCCGATGTTCTATCCACTGAGCCAAACTGGCCAGGGCCAGATGGTTCTTCTCTTATTGTTTGTATTGCATGGAGCTTTTAGTCTATGGTAGCCTGGAAGGTAAGTGCTGGAAGCATTTGGGTGTGATTTTGAATTTTCCAGATGCCCCATCTATTCTCTAAGCCCATCATCAATAGATAGCTCCTACCACAATAGGGTAGCAATGAAAGTAATAGTCTAAAAAAATAAATAAATAAAAAAACTAAAAAAACATACTTTACATGATAAATAATGAAAATATTTGGGCATGGTTCTAAAACTTACATCTTCCTGATCAGAGTAAAACAGACTTAGAGAAAGAAATTTTTAATGGTAGTTATGAGACACATAATTTTAGTTAAAAAACTTAGATATATGTATATATATGTATACCTGTATATGTGTGTGTGTATACATATGATTTCTCAATTGTATAGAAAATATTTACTATCATTCCCAAACACAGTTCACTATAATTCATAATAAATAATCCTGATACTGTGAAAAAAAAAAGTAATAGTCTGCGCACATGCCTCCTGTATCATATTCTTCTGATGCCTATACCACTGGGAAAGGGAGACATGCAGCCTAGAAACCAAGCTCAGCGTTTAATATTTCTAGGCTCATCCATATCTGAATTTCCTCTTGAAACACAATTTTCTGTGTTAGAAAAATTGTCATTTTGAAGACATTCTAGGACAAAAAATCTATTTTCTTTTTTCAGAAAGTAAAAAAGAAAATTTGTCTCCTTTTAAAGAGGGATGCTTAAAATTTGACTTTCAAATTTTACATAGACGGAAGCATTCAGAAGACCCCAGGCAGCTCTTGTGTGGGGAAGTGAAGAGCTGACGTAAGAGCTTCCGGGAAAGGTGAAGTGGGTAGAGTGCTCTCCCTCTGTGTTGCCAGAGCCTGCCAGGTCCGACTACTGGGATGGTGCATGGAACTTCATGTGAAGGGAAAGGGCTCCTCTGTGGACAATGTTTTCAAATCACCAGTCACGGAACGCACTATACATGTGACTCATCAGTGGAAAGGTCACAACCTCAGAAAAGAAACAAGAACTCAGGAAGCATCTAAATGCTCCTGCCCCAACATGAAGTCTAGGAAAGGAAAGTCCTCCTTAAAATCACCCATCATGCTACTATCACAGGATCCAACACACATGTGGATCATTGCTAAGGTGCCTTTGTGATGTCCAACCTCGGCCAGCACGTGGTGCCCTGTGACAATCACGGACTAAACTCCCTCTCGGGTCTCACTTCCCTTCAGTCCAGAGATTTCCAATTTTCTTTGTGCTGTGGCCCAGTGTGCAGTCTGTGAAGTCTTTGGATCCCATCTTAGAATCACAGTTTTCAATATGTAAAATACTAGATAGGACCACAACAAAGCTAATTATAGTAAAGCAGATTTCTATCCATGGACCCCTTCAGGGTCAGTGGGCACCAGAAAAAGAAATCAAATACCTGTTACACTCACTCCGAGAGCATTCTCAATACTCAATTTCCCGCCTGGTTCTCTCGAGTTCCACTCCTCTCTTTTAACTGGCCTGTTAGGAATTTGCCACATGAATCTAAAGTGCAACAACATAACTTCCTAGGACCATCTATGACTTCTGAATTATTCCCTCCCCTCCTACTCAACCAACATCTGGGTCCTCCTGACACCACCACAGAACTGCCTTTTAAACCCAACTTCTCCTCTCATTCTTTGCACTCATACCTTTAATAATCTCACCATTTCTCACTTGGATTTTTGCATTCCTTCCGACTCACTGCAGCCCAAAGAGTTTTCCCCGTGTTTATATAAAGAAGTCAGTTCCAAATTCAAACAGGCCAGGCCGTTCCCCTCTCCAGAATCAACACAAAATTCTTTAGCTGCCGATCCCAGCACTTCAGAGCCTGGCCCTGGCCTTCCTGTCCTGCCTCCCTCAGCCTCAGGAGTCCGTCTCAGTGCTCACACTGCTCACTTTTCTCTGAACAAATACTGTTTTAGCTCCTCAAGTTTCCGAGGCCTAGGGAACCCTTCCCCTTTTCCCTTCCACACCCAAATACTGAAGTACAGCCCCAATTTTAAGGATCTTGAAGAAAGCTTCTTCTGGGAGGCTTTAGAAGCAAGGGCTCTCTTTCTTAGCTGGCTATGTGTTTGTGGACGCTTCACTTTTGGAACTTATAAAAAGAATTAATGCACACGATAACTTTTTAAGGGGACTATGCTGTCCCCTCCTTCATGTGTCTTTTGTGAGGAAAAGAAAGGCATTTTATTCATTTTTATAGTTCTGCACAGCACGGGGGCTGAACTTTCTGTTCACCTGCCTGAGGCCTGTGGGTAGAGAGGCTGACTCTCCGACACAGAGAGCCTTATCTTGTCATCACTGCAGCCTGACCCTGCATTCCTCAATAAATGGTAGTTGCAAATTCTCAAAGGTCTAAACCTCATATAAGCTTGGTGAAGATAGATTATTTTGAAAGGCTTGATTAATTCCATGACCCCAACATAGTATATTAACTTCTCTCTTCTTTAAAAAATAAGTACCATGGACCCAAAGGACAGGTACCAGGGAGTTGCTGCAAGGAGGTGACTAATGGATATCTGCTAATAAGCTTGTCCTCTTAGTGACACAGGAGCTAGAGCATAGACAACGGAGTTACCTTTGATTTCAGGATAGTACAGGAAAGGTTTTGGCTCGCTAGTTTCTAAGTCAGATTTCCTCCGAAGTTGGACGAACACGGAGGCTGGTTTGGTGATATTGACATCTTTGTACTTTGGTGTTTTGAAGACGATGGCAAACTGCAGGATACAAAGATCCAAATGTTAGGATGCTACTTATTTAAACACATTCCTTATGCACAATGGTTAGTGTACAAAAGAAAATACAGTACCCTAGAAAAGGTTACAAACTCAGAATTCTGTACCCATTCATTTTAACCAAATAGCTATTGTGAAACTGAAGCAAGGTTGTGCCGATGTATTATAAATCTTTATTGTTTCATTTATCTAATAATTTAGATGTCTTCACTTGTGAATAATCATGTTAAAAAATATACTGCATATACCTTCTCATCTTTTATTTTAAAAAAATGTATTTTATTGATTTTTTACAGACAGGAAGGGAGAGAGATAGAAAGCTAGAAATGTCATTGAGAGAGAATCATCAACCAGCTGCCTCTTGCACACCCCCTACTGGGGATGTGCCTGCAACCAACGTACATGCTGGAATCGAACCTGGGACCTTTCAGTCCGCAGACCAATGCTCTACCGCTGAGCCAAACCAGTTTTGGCCCTTCTCGTCTTTTAAATTAGCCTTAAAAGCTTCCAAGATTACTGGCAGCAACATCAGGAAGACTGGTTTTAGGATGAGGGAGATGAGGAAGGTGGTACTATTATCAGCCTACAGGCCTGTGATGAAGAGAGATGACTAAACCCTTCAAGGGAGACATCATTATAGGGTCAGTTTTTTTTTTTTTTTGAGGTGAGACTGGCCAAGGCTCAGTACATATGCAGGGCATTCTGGACCAGTGCTGGCATTTTTACATTTTTTTTAAGTTTGACTTTTTGACTATAATATATTCATAGAAATAAAGTTTTCTTCTTCTTTTTTTTAATCTAAAAAGGTATATAATGGCATACATAGAAATTTCTTCTTGCCATTCTTATCCCCCGTTCAGGCAATTCTTACTGTTTCCTTGCCACCCATTCCCACTCCCCAAAGGTAAACACAGAGAATTTATTAATTTCTTCTGTATTCTTCCAGAGTTTTTTTTTTTTTATGGATTCTGATACCCACAGAATCTTTTAAATATACACTTTGTTTTATATTTATCTCTCAAAATGTTTTATTGTTGTATCTTTGAGATCTTTTCATAATAGTTCATAGAGTACTCATTCTTTTAACTGCATAATATTCCATCACATAGATACAACATTATTAGATTGGCCACTTATTGATGGATATTTGGATTGTGTCCCTTTTTGCGTGTGTGTATGAAAACAGATTTCTTAGTCAGAGTAATCATTAAGGTGGGATTTAGCATTTTCTTTTCTTTTTTAAAATATATTTTTATTAATTACAGAGAGGAAGGGAAAGGGAGAGAGAGATAGAAACATCAAGGATGAGATGGAATCGATTGGCTGCCTCCTGCACACACCCTACTGGGGATTCAGCTCTCAACCTGGGCATGTGCCCTTGACTGGAATCGAATCTAGGACCATTCAGTCCACAGGCTGACACTCAATCCACTGAGCCAAACTAGCTATGGCGGGATTTAGCATTTTCATTTCTTAGTCATATACACATAATAACATTAGCCTCAACTAGAAGACTTCCTTTCAAAGTTTTTTATTAGAATAACCTTGTAGCATACTTCACCATAATCATTCTAGTATAACACTGCTATGAACTGATGTGTCCATCTCCCCCAAATCCACATGTCTAATGTAGCTGTACTTGGATATAAGGCCTTTAATGGATAAAATTAAGGTTAAATGAGGCCATAGGGGCAGGCCCTGATTAGTGTCCTTATAAGAAGTGGCACCAGAGAGCTTACTCTCTCTACCCTGAGAGGACACATCGAGGAGGCAGCCATCTGGAAGCCAGGAAGAGAGCTCTCACAGAAATCAACCCTGTCAAATCTTGATCTGGAACTTCTAGCCTCCAGAACTGGGAGAAAATAAATTTCTGTTGTTTAATCCACATAGTCTATGGTGTTGTGTTATAGAACCCTTCCCATAAATTTATGGTAGATACCTTTCCTGAATGACCTATAAGAATCTTAAAAATAATCGTCTTTTATGAAAGTTAAATAAATATTTACAATTTCCCCTTTTTCATATATGAGAACTAAATAGTAAATTTCAACAAGGCAAAAATGTAAACTTATCACCATCATTCACTTACTTGTCTATGAACGTCTGTTGGGGAAAAATCTCCAAATCCTTCCCAGATTCCACCATTTTCTTCCTCTTCATAAAATCGAATCTGGATGTCATCTGCAAACAGGCACAGTCAAGTGTATAATTTCACAGAATATAATTATATTTATAAACATGCTGGAAAGAAAGTTGGTTCAAAATTCTACTTACTGTGCACTTAAAGTTTTGAAAGTAATTAATATGAAATTGACTTTTTAATAATTTAAAATTTGTACAAATCACTGAATTTCTTATTAGTTACCATAGTAATGGGCCCCAGGTTTCATTTATAATGACAGATTTAGATATTCAATTTGAGTTTTCTCTTACTTAATCTTTGACCTTCCCATTTCTCCATCTCTAAACCAATCCACTTCTGAGAAAGAGGAAGGATAGTGAGGAATAGCAGAATCCTGAAATGTGGTTCAACTCAATAAAGATTTACATAATAATATTTAACTTATATACAATTATTATATGGTAGACACAGTTTTATGTGATTTATATGTATATATTAACTGATTTAATCCTCATAATAATTTTGTAGGTGTGCTATTAATATCTTTATTTTGCAGAAAAAAACTAGGGTCCAGAGAGGTTAAGTAATTTATCCAAGGTTGAGTAGCAGTTAATGGAGAAACCAGGATTTGAACACATACAGTATAGTTTCTGACTTAAATATTCTATTATTAAACATTCTCCTATACTGCCTCACTATAATACTTTAGTAATCCTTACTGGAAAAATGTTAAAAATATTAAGTTCGTCAAGTCCTTCAGATTAAAGTTAGAATGCCTACATTTCACACTTCAGTCATGGATTTTACTTTTGCAGAAACATGATAGTATAACTCAGGCAGGCATATCTCTGGCTTGCCCAGGAATCTGGAAATGTGTATTGTTTGACTAGAATGGGTTAAAAAAAGGCTGACCACCAGGATAAGCAGAGAAAGTGTAAAAAATTTTTTTTGATAAAGACATATACATTTACCTTAAAATCTGATTTATTTTTTCAGACGTTTTACCTCAGAGCATTTAGCCTCAAATGAGAATTTTCTTCTTTTTAAAGCCACGATTCATTTATTTAGGGGCTCTATTTCCAGATGTGTATCTGCTTATTTAAAAATGCTCCTCACTTTGTAGGGAGCAGATCTTTATTATACTATATTTTCAATCATTTTATTTTAAAAATGAGTGAAGTTGAGAAAATAATAAATTGTTCGTAAGCTTTTGCTAATTTATTAATCTTGTACTATATTTCACACGATTAATGTCAAGAACCTTTTCTGAAAGTCAAAATTATGAAGGACATTTGCTCTGAGAATTTCCCTATCATCCCTATTCTTTCTTCTCTTTAGCCCACATCACAGTGTCATGTGAGAGCAGCTGGAAAAGCTCTCTCAATGTAACAAAGCACCGTAAGGTAAACAAAAGAAACAACTTCATGCTATGCAAAACTTTATGGAGACTAGTGGGTCTTCCAGCAAATTAAGCATAAAATATCACTGGAGGCAGAAATGACAACACAACTTGGGCACATCTTGACAAGGCAGATTCTTTGAAAAAGACAATATTGCTGGAAAGCCAGATGGCAGCCGGAAAAGAGGAAGAACAAACATGAGATGGATTGACTCCATAAAAGAAAACACAGGCATGAATCTCCAGGAGCCACGCAGAGCTGTTGAGGACAGGACATTGTGGACATCACTCATTCATAGGATGGCTGGGAATCAGAGCTGACTCAATGGCACAGCATGTAATAGATACAAACATTTGTGTGTGTGTGTGTGTGTGTGTGTGTGTGTGTGTGTGTGTGTTTGAAGCATGGACTATTTCTCATTTCTGTTAGTTTCACTAAATTCAGATACTAAATTTTTAAGCATGAAAACATTGACATGTCACTGATTACCACCATTTTAGAATTTCTCTTTACTTCTGTTGAACATTTTTAAATGAATTGGTTGGGTTTAAAAAAATACCGATACAGTTGGCAGAGGTGAAATGTGTAAATTTTAAAGGGATATCCACTGTCAAAAAGTGACTCACAGACACTCAAAATATTTCACATCATATATTTACCTTTTTGAACCTTGTCACAGAGAAGATAAATCTCTTCCCCTCCAGTTACGCATCCCGCTGTCCTGTCCATCCGTACGATTTTCAAGTTGGAAGCATTGGGGGCTTCTGTCCACAGGAGAAAAACAAAAACCATCCTGGCTTAGCCTCAGATCCACAAACAACCTGGTTTACAGTATCCCCATAAGCCAATCTCTTATGAGGGACCCTACCCTTAGCACAGCTTAACCAAATGAAAGTTGAAATAGATGCTTCCACTCATGTTGTTTTAACAAGGATACAAATAAAACAAAAATGCCTTCTGAAGTCCACAGAGCACTCTTGGGTACGGGTCAATCATTACCACCCTCGCCAAAACAGGTTTGGCTCAGTGGATAGCGCGTCAGTCTGCAGACTGAAGGGTCCCAGTTTCGATTCTGGTCAAGGGCACATTGGTTGCGGGCACATCCCCGGAGATGGGTGTGCAAGAGGCAGCTGGCCGATGTTTCTCTCTCATCGATGTTTCTAGCTCTCTATCCCTCTCCCTTTCTTTCTGTGGAAAATCAATGAAATATATATTTTTTAAAAATCATTACCACCCAAATAGAGGAGGCCGAGAGGAGCAGTCTCGGTTTCTCCCACTAACACAGTCAGAGAGACCGAGACAGAAAGAGAGAGCTCTTCTGACGCACTGGGAGGAACGAAGCCATGGGTTGGTGGAACTTCAATTAGGTCAAGACTTGGCCCACGCTTATTTCCATGACACTGATATACCATTTACAAGAGCCCGATAAATTTAGGAGAAACACAATTTTCTTAGCCCATCTATTAATTTTTATTCTACAGAAAAGAAAAATGGAGATGTTATATTTCTTTTCCCCAAACTAAATTAGAATTCTGTGTGGTTAGGGGCAAAAGTTTTGTGTGGTAATGGTATAAAGCTTCCTTTTTTCTTGTTCCCCCAACACCTGCATTTTAAGATGATCTTCAATACATGAGTCTACATCATTTTATACCTCTTTCACTTCCTTTCAAACTTGTTTAAATTAGAAAAAATCAGTTAGTTGTCCTTGGAGCCTGGAGTTTCCTACTTAGACCAAACCCTAGAAACTGTCAATGCGCCTACGTAGTGCACTTGCAGGCTTTCTGGGAAAATCTGTTTAATAAACCTCACCCATACCAAAATGTTTACTACACAAATTTGTATGGTAAATTTGAAGAGCATTGTAAAACTCTACAATTTCTAGGAACCACAGACTAAAATAGAAATTTGAAGCCACGTACTGCCTATGCTATTCACTCAGTTAACCTGAAGTTAGTCTTCCTTCCTTCCTTCCTTCCTTCCTTCCTTCCTTCCTTCCTTCCTTCCTTCCTTCCTTCCTTCCTTCCTTTCTTTCAAAATATATTTTTATTGATTTCAGAGAGGAAGGGAGAGGGAGAGAGAGATAGAAACATCAATGATGAAAGAGAATCACTGGTTGGCTGCCTCCTGTATGCTCCCCACTGGGGATTGAGCCCGCAACCAGGGCACATGCCCTTGACTGGAATTGAACCCAGGATCCTTGAGTCCGCAGGTCGATGCCCTATCCACTGAGCCAACCAGCCAGGGCTGAAGTTTCTATCTTGATAAAGCTATTAAGAATTTGAGAATTAGGTAAGAAAAATAGTTGTCTTTTGTTAACCTTTGTTCAGACTCCCAGTGGAAAAAATTAAGGTACTTTTCTCATCTGAGAGCACAAACACTATACCCTCAAAGCAAGGCCTTGGAAAGGAATGAGATTTGGCATTACATGTAAAAGACTAGAATGCATCTGAGAGAAGAGAACTACATTTACTGAGCCTCTTTTAACATTTCAACTTTTTTCCTAATTTATCATTTTTGCTGAAAGTATTACAGATGTCTCCTTTCTTCCTCCTTCAGCTCCTCCATCCTGACATCAACTTTTTATATTAGATTTTAGTATTCCCATTCTGTAGATGCTAAACACGAGGCTCCAAGTAATTAATTACTTGCCCGGGGACTCAGAGCTAGTAAGCAACTGCCCAGGCAGGCTGCAAGTCTGTTCTTGATATTATACAGAGCTGCCTCCCAGGAGAAGTCAGGCACTCACTGCTGTCGTAGATGGCGTCTGATACCACGGGCTCCAGGGGCCTGGTGAAGCTACCGGTGCTGTCCGGGAGGAAAGCTGTAAACATGAGCCGCACCACGCTGAGGTCCATCTCCTTTGTCTGCTGAAGAGCCGCCTGGCGGATGATCTCCTTTTCCCGATCTAGGACCACCCAGCACAGGGCAAGGGTGAAGCAAGAGCATTTCAGACATGGTGCTTTTCTCAAGCCCCCATAATATAAGCTTGAAATGAAAATTGTGTTGCTTTAAAAAGATTCTTCATGTTGTTAATAACGTTTAAAAATTTATCCCATATATGTCATCCAAAATTAAAGCCATTAAAAGAAGACCTGCATTTCCTGTGGATTACAGTAAAATCTGTCCTCCATGTAGCAAAGTGCCTCTCCTTTCCTATCTCTCCACGAACTCTCCCTATTCTCTCTACAGTAGGAGTTGAGGATACAAACAATATGATGGACTAGAACGTAATAAGCCAACTCTGCATCGGTGGTTTTGTGAAATGTGAAAATTTAGTATCCCCAAACTCTTTGAGCACAGAGACTGTGCTCATTGCACAGTGCCTAGCACCCTCCTCTGCACATAGTAGATATTCAGAAAGTACTTTTGAAGGAACTGAACGACCCAACTGCATTTGGCTCCTTTTTTCTCCCCGTGATGGAACTTTGATGCTGATGGATATAATCATAATTATCTCATATCATAAAAGGTGATAATTCAGGTGATAAGGACGCTCCAAGAGCTACCGATGAAGTGATATGGAATTCCAAAGGAGGGGAGAACCCAGAGGCTTTGGAGAAGAGACGTTTGAAGGGATGGTAGAACTTGCACTTATGAAGAGGGTGAATAAGGACATTCCTGAAAGCGGGGAGATTCAAGTCTAGGAAGAATGTGGCAAGGCGAGGAAGTGAGAAACCATGGCGCCTTGTGGAGAAGTTCAGTTTGACATGAAGGGACATGGTGGGGAATAGAGTTGGGAATGTAGACGGGCACCAGCTCTTGGGAGAGACACTAAGTAGTGGTGAGATCATCTGACCATAGGGTGTAAACTGAATCAGAAGTGAGGAGAGACAAAGACAGAGCAGCAAAAGCAGAGTGAGGAGTGGAGCATGAGAGACAGCACAGCACAGCTGGACCACTAGCTGGACATGGAAGAGTCAAAGACAGTGAGAAGGTTTAGAGTCTGGGTATCAGAAGCTGGAACACAGTTAGTGGAAAATGATGACTGGATCATCTGAATGTGAGCTCCTCTGGCCAGACTGAAGGAGAATATATAAAAGCAGAAATGGTGAAGGTGATGGGACAAGGTTTGGGGTTGAAAGAAAAAAAAATAGGAGTGAAGGCAGGAAAACATAAAGTCATAGCATTTTATTGACAAAGACAATAGTTTAAAATATGCCTGAAGTATCCAAAGAAAGAAAGATTCCTTATAAGTGGGTGAGCTGGGGGAGATAAAAGAGAGGAGTTATTTTTAAACGAAGTCTTGAGTAATGAATTGTTTTGACAGGTTGAATAAGGGAAAGGTGGGTTTAAGGAGAGAAATACACATACAAAGGAATGGAGATGCATGAATGTTCAGGGGGCAGAAGTGGGCAGCGGTGGGGGCAGGTGGGACTGAAAATGAGGCTAGCAAGGTGGGTGGGGCCAGACTGGGAGGGCTTCGTTTGCCAGGCTAAGGAGGTACAGATTTTATTCTAGAGGTAGGGGGATGTCATCAAAGGTTTCTGAGCAGGAAAAGAGTGGGAGCAGCTTGGGGGTACAGATTGCGAGAAAGAGAAACTTGAGGCATACAGATGAGGATATATCTACACATAAGAAATAAGAGCCCGAGCTCTCAACAAGCAAGGATAGGAGAGTGACACTCACCTGTGAGCTGCCGCTCTCCTCCACCTTCTGCTTGCAAATAGGCAAGATCCGGATGTACCAAAAGTCCGGGATTGTAGCCCCTAATGCACGCATCTGTCATCCGTGCTTCCAGTGTCTCATATACTTTTTTCTTTGTCACATGAAGTATGCCTAGGTTTGCAAAGCTGGAGAAAACAACAATAACAACAACAACCCAAGGTTAGGCAGTCAATGACTAGAATATATGGTTTCACTTGAGCACAGAGAATTTTAAAAAAACACACACAGGTCCTCAATCACTGGGGGCCACACCATAACCAAACACATTAGTATTTCTCCAGAAATATATAAAGCAGATTTACTGAGTGGGAAAATAAAGATTATAACCAGCTGTACCTTCAGAACAGGTTGGGTTTTTCCACTAAACAAGCCTGTGGTAAATTTAGCAAAACCTTTTGGCTTTTAGAGTATATTAGACTTTCAAATTATGATTCAGGGAGTGGGGTAGACAGGTATATATAACCTAATAGAAAATTTTACATGGACTCATTTTGTAGTATTTTTTGGGAGAGTTGTATAAAATATGTTAATTCAAATATAGTACTAACTTTTCTAACTTTTTCTCAGAATAAGAGTAATATTATATTTCAAAGAATTTTTTTTGTTTATTGTTTTTGAATTATCCTTGGGTTTCTGAATGGGATTTAAAGTCTAAGTCCTATTTGGGAATTCCACCTTCCAGGAATTCCACCTTCTCCTAGGTTTCTATAAGACTGAAATTATTCATTATTACTAGAATGTTTTCTAATTCTACATGGGCTCATGACTGAAGGTATATCTGTAATCAGGGATGGAGAACCTTTTATCGTGAAGGTTACATACCTACAGGACAAAATATGTTAATAAACTAAATAAAGCAATTTAAAGGATTCTAAAGAAATATATAAAATGCTCCAACCATTTGTTTTTTAAATAAAGTATATGAAAGAAGTATATTTAATGAATGTAATACAATAAACAAAAAAGCACTTTACTAAGGAGACTCATTCATTCAACAAATAGTGACTCAACTCTTTATTACTGTCAGGCAGTGTCCTATTGCTCCTGTCAGCAATAAAGAAATCCCGAGTTTCATAGAATTTATATGCTAGTGCAACAACAGATAAGAAGTGAAGCAAACTTTATGGTGCAATTTATATGATAAGTGTTACCAAGAAAAATAAGGTAGGGAACAGAACAAGTAGTAGAAGGCATGGTTCTTTAAAATAGGGAGAGGACAGAAAGGGCTCATTGAAAAGAAGACAAGTGCAAGCACCCTGAAATAGGGTCTTGCCTGGTGTTTTCTAAAGACAATAATGGCAAAGAGGCCAAGGTGAATAGAGCAGTGGTTGGCTCTGTTGACTAATGAGTTTGCCGACGCTGGGATAGAGGAAAATGAAGAAGAGGTCAAAGGCTTCAAAGAGGGAAGTGGTGGCACAGATCTTTTAAAGCCTGGAAAGTGTTTGGAAGGTCTTGTTTTACTCTGACATTCACCCAAAAAGAAGGAAAAAAGGTAAGTACAAAGAAGATAGAAATATATGACAATTGGATTGAATGAAGCAAATAATATGACAATGTGGAAAGACCAGATAAACTATGGTAAGGAAATATGAGTGAAGGCAGAATGTGATGAGCCTTCAGACAGAGGCCCATAGATAGAATGAGACACATGTCCAGTCAGTGATAGGAAAAAAATGGGATAGCTGAGACATAAACAGAAGAAAATATGCTAAGAGAGAATTTAAACTCCTTGAGGGCAGAGATATCCAGTATCTAGAACAATGGATGTCTAATAAATATCTATTGAATCAATGAATGCATGAATTAATACAGCACAGAAAAATATACATGGCATACTAATATGCATGGAGGCATAGGAAATTTCTCAAAAACCAAATCTCCATCATTTTGGTCCGTTAGGCCTTATTCCTATAAAGAACATTCAAAACTATGGGAAAACCAGGTACTCTCCAAGGTAATGGCAATGGCAAATATCTTTGTAGCACTTTACACTTTATCATCTATAGGGTACTTTTCAGGTATATTATTCTATTTAATCCCAGTAGAAAAGGCAACATCCTCGTGATTCATTATGTGAATAGTGAATTTACTCTGGTAATAAAAGAAACAATATAGAAGTCAGTATTCTGCATCAAGTGATGATGGAGTATCAGAGACCAGATTGAACCTTTTACGTTAAACAACAACAAAAAACACACTAAAAGTTTTCATACACTGGACAATAGGCAGCACAGGACAGTGATTCTTAAGAAAAGGGAAACAAATACAATGACTCCTATAATTATGCCAGAGTTATAATTAAGCTTTGAGTTTCTAGGCTGCAACACAGGAAGGGGGGCCCCAAACAGGACCTGGTGATCTCCCAGAGGTGAGGAGACAGAGTTAAAAATTTGAGGAGGCCAACTGAAAGAAGTTATGAGCATCAGATCAGTACTACAGAAAAATTAAAGGAGGGGCTTCAGGTAGAAGAAAATGAATTCAGATGGATGCTTGACTATGAAATAGAATGAAGAACACTGCAAATAGTAAATATATTGCATTTTTCCTTACTTAAAATTTCTTTAAAAGATAATTGTTTAAAGTAAAAATAAAAACAACATATTGCATTGTATGTTTTAGACCAACATGTGCTATCCTAATATATTAAAACCCTGGTTCCCTCACATCCACAATGACTGGAGGCTTGACCAATCAGACGTCAGTCCTGCAGTCAGCGCTGGGTTGCTATGGTGACACAGCACTGGCTACTGAGGGAGCTGAGATTCAGGCCCAGAGAGAGGCCTAAAGAGAGAAGCAGGGTCTGATCTGTATCCCCTGTGACAGCTGTTAATCAGCATTTGCCTCTTTCTCTCTGGGCCTGCCCAGCAGCTGCACCTCCATTTTCCTCCAGGCCTCCACTGATTGCTGATCAGTCCCACCTTTCTGATTAGGCCCAGTTGATAGCCCCAGAGACACTGACTGGCATAGAAACTGACCAATCAATACCAAATCTGGGTAAGGTGTGAGAAGCCGATGGCTGCCTAGGAGGCAGAGCTTTTGATGCTGACTGGTATAGAAATTGACAAATTAGAACCAAATTGGCCAGCAAGGAGGGCAATTGGGGGTGAGATCAGGCCGGCAGGGGAGGGCAGTTGGAGGTGACCAGGCCAGCAGGGGAGGACAGTTTGGGGTGATCAGGCTGGCAGGGAAGCAGTTAGGTGTTAATCAGGCCGGCAGGGGAGCAGTTAGGGGGTGATCAGGTTGGCAGGCAGAAATGGTTATGGGCAATCAGGCAGGCAGGCAGGCAGGTTAGGAGCCAGCTGTTCCAGATTGTGCGAGGTATCCCAGATTAGAGAGGTTTCAGGTTGGGTTGAGGGAAGCTCCCCTCCCCCGCATGAATTTTGTGCACAGGGCCTCTAGTAATATATATATATTATATATGACACAACCACACAAAAGCCAAAAGAAATGAAAGTTTACTCTCCAAAAGTACAGTATAGAGAATATAGTCAATAATATTGTAATAACTATGTATGGTGTCAGCTAGGTGCTAAAATTATTAGGGTGACCACTTCATAATATATATAAATGTCTAATTACTATGTTGTTTACCTAGTTGAAACTAATATAATATTATAGGTCTTTTTTTGAGAAAAAAAGAAAGTATACTGCTCATATACTATATGTGAAGAGATGTAATGTACTTAAAGTTAGACTATATTAAGTTTACTAGTAAGATGTATACTATAAACTAACTGCTAAAAATACAAAAAAAATTATAAACAAAATGGGGGTAAAATGAAATCATAACAAATAACCTAAAGAAGGCAGAAAAAGAGGAACAAAAAACAGATGTGACTAACAGAATACAAACAGCAAGATGGTAAATCTGAACATAGCTATATCAGTAATTGGATTAAATACAAATTATTTAAGTCCCCAATTAAAAGGCAGTGTCAAATGGAATAAAAAAGTATGACCCAACTATATACTGTTACAGTGCATATTTACTTTGAAAATAAAAACACAAATAGGTTAAAACTAATGAATGGAAAATGAAAAAAAATGTTCCAAACTAACATTAATCAAAAAAAAAAAAAAAAGTTAAACTGCTATATTAATATCAGTTTAGGTAGATTTAGAGCAAAAAACATTAACAGGAATAAAAAGGATAAGTTCATAATGAAAAAGGGATCGATTCATTAGGAGGACATAAGAATTCTAAATATTTATGTATCTAATAAAAGAGATTCATAATATAAGCAGCAAAATCTTACAGAACTGAAAGAAGAACTAGGTATATCTATAAATATAGTCAGACATTTCAACACCCTCTCTCAATAATTGATAGAATAAGTAAGGAGAAAATTAGTAAGGGTATGGAAGACTTGAACAACACTATCAAACAACTTGACTTAATTGACATTTATGGAACGTTGATTCAACTTGACCAGATTAATCATTTTTTTTTTAAGTACTCAGAATCATTTACCAGGTCAGAACATAGACTGATCCATAAAACAAGTCTCAATAAATTAAAAAGGATTCAAATCATACCAAGTATTCTCTTATCACAATGGAACTAAATCAGATATCAATAACTGAAAGATTATTTATACAGGAGTATATTTAAATTAAGACTGGCTATGTAATAATTATTGAAGTTGGATGATGGGTACAAAGAATAGCTCAATTATATTATTTCTACTTTTGTATGTGCTTGAAAGTTTCTATCATAAAATGTAATAGAAAATGAAGAGCAGACACTATTATTAGCACATGCACCTTAAAAAAATTGAGAATCATAAATGTTAAATACATGGGATGCAAAATGGCATGGCCACTTTGGAAAACATTGTAGCAGTTTCTTATCAACATAAATACATCCCTAAAACACCACTAAATATTTACCCAAGCCCAAGAGAAACAAAAACTTATGTTCACACAAACACTGTTTTTATCATAAAAAAAAAAACTAGAAACAAACCAAATGTTTTCAACAAGTGGATGGATAAACTGTGATACACCAATACAATGCAAAACTATTTAGAAACTAGAAGGAATTAACAACTGATATACACATCAACCTGGAGGAATCTCAAATACATTATGCAAAGTGAAAAGCCAGATTTAAAAATGCTACATG